TTCCCTATAGGGAAGTAGCTATTACCGTAGGTCTCATGGTAAGACTTAGGCCCGGGACCGATTTACTTTTTCATTTTAATGTCCCCAGAGGCCAAAAACACCATTCGTTCAAATTTTTATATATGTATATATATATATATATATATATATATATAGATTTATATATATATATATGTGTCCGTGAACACGATAACTTGAGTAATTTTTATCCGATTTTGATGAAATTTGGTTTGAAGGTGTAAAGCGGGATAAACTTGAATGAGTTCGCGATCCAGCATGATCGGACCATGGGAACAGGGTTTTATGGGGGGTTTTATGGGGTAAAAATTGGTTTTTCTCCCTTTTGACCCTCAAAACACAAAATTTCCCAATTTTTCTCTAAACCTTCTTAAAGAGCTTAAAAAAACAAACAATTCAGTATATCAAAGTGTTTTTGTACGGTTATTGGTTACGGAGAAAACTAAAAAAAATGGTAAATTTGAAATTCCCATGTTATTCTTACGGAGAATATTGTAAAATGTTGTAGTTTGCTTGTTTATGGATATATTTTGATCAAACTTGGCAAATTTATTTATTTTATAGTAAGCTATCAATATTTTACTAAAAACACACTACTTTATTAGTTTCCTTGTAGCAGCAAACCTAGGTACTCGTTAAACCTAATAATGTTATTTAAATAGATCAATTGAAAATAAATTCGGCCAAATGGAAATTCGCTTAGATGGCAGGTTTGCTGCGGCGGGGGTATTTATTTTTAGAATGTATTATATGAATTGTTATAGTAAGAAACCGATTGCTAGACATTACATGTATTGGAAATAAATAATTAACTCCTATACATAAATGGGACACAACATACAATCGATAGACCATTTATTATTCAGTTGCGTAATCCTTTGCTTCCCAGTCAGTAATTATTCATGGGATTTGCTGATAATTCCCAATGTACACTGTATCCCCGGAGTCATGCATGAAGACACTGTATGAGATATGATCGCCGAGGGAGACCGACGTTCTATGATATACTTGCTGTGATGTGTGTGTGTGTGTGTTAGACGTGTCTGCTTGTATCTCTGCTTTGGCTCCTTCATACATAAATTTGTATATATTGCCGAGTACGCTTTGACTTTTATCATCATCTGAATAATTTCTATGAATTAAAAGCGACAGTTTATTCTGTTGTGCCTAAGTTTGAGTTCTCTTGACTACTCCAATCACTTAAGTGGATGGATTATGTAGAGTGATGATTTTGTTGTTAAAAAAATCATATTATGCAACATTGTTACAACGCAGAGATGACCAATTCAAACGGCAAGGATGACATTTTTTAGTGGATTTTTATACGTGACAAATATTAGCAGTTAAGAAATTTTAGTATTAACAAAATATTGCTTTTGACGATGACAACACAATTATAATATCCTACTGAGTCACAGAATGCGAGGCTCTAACTCTGTCGTAAACCTAAAACCCTTCCACACTTATAGATAGGAACTCGTAAATATTCTTCCTTACATCGTAAAATATCCAAATAATGCGAACTTATACTTAAGTGAGTATACCTGCTTAACGTGTTGAAATATTCAGCTGTGAGTCTATTTACTAATTGGATCGAAAGAAAATTGTTTAACTTATTGATATAGTATTAATGTAAGAGTCAATCGATCGAAAACATATCTTTAAGCCTGTTAGAAAATAAATTTTGTTAACTTATATGAGTACCCATTCGCCGCCATGGCATTCGCCTATTAGGTCTGATGATGATTGGAGTGTCCAATCGAAATCGATCACCACTTACCATCTTTTAGATTTTTTTTACTTGGCACTCTCTTTTTTAACTTATAAGTTGAAGCTATTTAGATTATGACAAATACATAAATACATTATACTGGGTGTTTAAAAAATCAGTTTACCGAGTAAGTGTATTTGTTAAGAAGCAAATAATAAATCAATTGCATTTATTGAAACTGAATTAACACTACACTTAGGTTGTAATCATCATTGTTCACAATGCTTTCTACTAAATCAATGGATTTTTTACAGAATTTTTTTACACTTTTTTGTATATATTTGTATTGTTGTTTATGGTTTGAAATTCTCTTGCAAATTGATTGGCCCCCATAGGATACTGTGATCTTACACCGTTAGACTTTTTTATTTGGTGGATCATTAAAAATGAGGTTTTTGCTCAAAAGTCGCTAGATGTTCTGCAGTTGAGAGACGCGAGTGAATTTAAAGCCTAATAATTTGAAGATAATGAATAAAGCATAAATTAAGATAATCTTTGTTGTATCTTAAGCAAAAATATTGTTACAAGTGTAAAAACGCTATGAAAAATGCATTGAAGTCAGTGGAAAGTAATTTGAAGAATTCTTTTACAACCTAGGTTTAGTGTAAATTCAAAAAAAAATATAATATAAATAACACTGATTTATTATTTTCTCTTAACAAATACACGTCCTAGATAAACTGATCTTTGAAACAGCCGGTATCTATTCTAAATATATATATATATATATATATATATATATATATATATATATATAATAAACCATAGTCAAATCGTACTCGGCAAGATATACAAATTGATGTATGAAGCAGACAGAGCAAAGGAAGCACGTCTAACACACACACACATCTAAGCAAGTATATCATAGAACGTCGGTCTCCCTCGGCGATCATATCTCATACAGTGTCTTCATGCATGACTCCGGGGATACAGTGTACATTGGGAATTATCAGCAAATCCCATGAATAATTACTGACTGGGAAGCAAAGGATTACGCAACTGAATAATAAATAGTCTATCGATTGTGTGTTGTGTCCCATTTATGTATAGGAGTTAATTATTTATTACCAATATGTGTAATGTCTAGTGAACGGTTTTGTATTATTTTACTTTAAAAATTTAGATAATACGTTCAGAGAAAAAAACCAAAAAAACCAAGTGGATTAAATTAAATGACAATTACGATCGTGTGCAGGAAGGCGTTATCCTCGTGGAATGTGTCCAATATAGAGCGGACCGACTGGAATGTGTTTGGACAGTCTGTTGAAAAAGTCGAGAGAGTAAAGTCTTGGCAAACACTTCTGTTTAAACATTTCTGAGAAATAAAAAAAGAAAAACGTGTGAATATAATGAAACTAAACCCAGTTTTAACATTCTCAGGCACTGTTACGCAATTCAGCACCAATACACTATGGAGTTCACTTATTCAGTCTAACGGTTTTAGTGTACCCACGTATTTCTTTTAATAAGGTAACCACTACAACATTATAATTCCAAATTAATTTTGTTATATACACTGTATTTGTATAATATACTAAGAAAAGCATACCACGCAACTGTTGTACTGTTGTTGCATGGAGCGTAACTCATAAAATCTAACAGCCACGTTCAAATTGTGTATAGTTTGAATTCTGTTGGAGGGCTCGTACATCAGGAAAGCCCATTAAAATATGGTCAACAGAACATAAATCTAACCAAAAACTAGTCAGTGTTATATTATGGTAATTAATCTTTATCAACCTTAGGGATATTTTTTTGCCACATTGGCATGTGTGTTTCAAAGCATAAATTAAAAATTCAGTTTTGGGGAATTTATAATTTACTATTGCCTGTAAGTAAATGCAAGCTTTCCTGTTATATTGAAGGCAAATACTGTAGCATAGCATGATTTTCAAACAGAATTTTTTTTTTTATCTTGAAATTTGTTGGCGTTTACAATGTTATTGCGTTTAAAGGGCCTGCAATTCATTTATTTTAATACTAAAAAAGTTTTGTTCTGAAAGCAAAATATTTTAAGATTTGGGAATTTTAAATATGCTTCCTATTCACCAATTAACTATTTGCTTTTAACGATTTGCCATTAATTAATTATTTGCTTTATGTCCAAATTTTGTAACGTACATGTTTTTCTTTACGAATTCAGTTTTACTGCTAAAACTGTGATTATTTTTATTTTGAGACGACGCTATATTGAATATAGGCTAGTTATTTTTTTACACAGACCATAATTAAATTCAGTTTATATCTACTAAAAGAGCAATAACTGTTAATTTTATATCAATCTATTTTAATAATAACTGTTTATTTGAAATATATTTTTAAATGTAGTTCCTTAACACCACACTTACTGTTCTTTTTTAATTACGCTTTTTAATACAGATTAGATTTACAAAAAAGCTACAATTATGCTCCACTACTGAATTGGAAGTTTAAATGTATTAATCAATTGCAATCGTCTGCTAAAAGTTTCTGTAAAGTTTTATTGCAAAATGTCTCAAGTAACGAAAGGAGTTGATTGGAGTTTCATGGACCTCTGTAGGCCGGGGTTGTCAATCGAGTTCCAAGTTTCTGGAATTAAGTTATCTCAGTGGACTCAATCAGCTGTCGGGGTCAAATGAGTTAATGAAACCCGATGTTCAAACTAAACAATTAAATACACCATTTAAGTAGGTTAAATGATCAATGTTCTAAAGAGAATAAGATTTTTCGTCCATTATATATTTTAGACTTCCCAGACAATTGGACTAGTTTAAAACATTCTTAATCCACATTGAGGGCACCAACTTATAAACTATTATAAAGAAGGGAAATAAAAGAAGACACAAGTTATATGGATATTTAAATGATAAGATGAGCTCAGTTTTGTACACTTAAACACAGCACTACTTTAACACACAGCTACCATGCCGTTTTTACTATTTCAATAACCTTATTATTCTTAAGTACAAACTGTGAAGATTAAGATTCTACTAATCCGTAAAGGAATAAGAATAAGCTTTTTTTGTATCCACACAATAATTTGGCCACAATAACCGTAAGACCAACTAATCTGGTGGAAGTGCAAGACTTCTTTCCGAGAGACATGGGTACAAAAACTGCAAATCACCAGGAAAATAAAAGAAGAGACTTTTCAAACTAGGAGAACATTTTATGAATTTAAAAACTCCTCTATTAAATAATCTAACGATACTAACAAAGTGTCTTTTTTCAGACACCCTGGGGATAATCCGTTCTACAGCAACATCGACAGTATGCCTGATATTCGACCCAGGCGGAAATCCATACCCTTGGTCTCTGAGCTGGTAAGTACTCTAAACTCCGATTATTCCATCAAGCTTAAACTGATGTACAACAATCATTATTGAAACATCAATAGCTTTCGAGTACAACAGTAATACTTACTGTCCGTTATACTGCTTTGCTTAAGAAATAATTTTTCTACGAGAATTACAAGTGACATTTTTCTTGACCGTCCTTGTGCCCCTGTCTTGAGTGTGTCGTTTGTCGATGACTGTTCCCTTGCGTCCTCTGTGTCCAATGTCTTTTGTCTGTCTTCTTTTCTCTCTCCGAAAAAAATTAAAGAGTTTTTTCCTCTGTGATCTACGCAGTAACGATGACAAAATAGGTTACATGCCTTGTCGTGGTTTACAGATGGGTCGTTTATTACAAATGACTAGTTTCACAACTCAATTGTTTCATTTTGAAATCTGATGTTACATCAAATTACAAAAATCTTGTTTTTAAAGTACCAATATACTGTTTTAAATTTTTGTAGCATACCGTTAAAACCATCACTGTCAAAATTTAGTATAGACAAACGTTAAATATCTTACCTATGTGGGTTGATTAAGCTTAAAATATGAAAATCGTAATTTTTTAGAGGTGTTGTGAAATTAAAAATATTTTGGTGAAAATAAATATTTCGCTCACAACGTGTTTTAAATTGCCGATTAAAAAAAGTTATTGTTTACAATATTATTTTTAAACATGTTTAGCTTATTTCCAAATTATCAAATCATGGAAATTGTCGATTTTCAACTAAAACTCTAACTGTAAAAAGATTTAAATTTGAAGGTTTTTTTTTTTGATATCTAATATTTTTAAGCTTCAAAATTTGGAAATGGGAACTTAATACAGGGTTTGAAAAATTTATTTTATTTATTTATTTTATAGTTCTTCCCTCTTTCTTTTTAATCGAGTTTTAAAATATGGGAACTAAAACATTTGGGGGTATGAAGTTAAAAATATGTTCATTAAATAACACTAAACTGTATTATTAATGTGCATCTACATTCCTCTAGAAAGAAATGCTTTCAATTTGAGACTTACAAGTTTGTTCAACCCATCACAACTATCACTGTAATAGGATTGGCGAATTTGAAAGGTTTTTTGTTGGGTTTGTGACTTGATTAGGCTGAGTGCTGGTGACATGTGTTACCATGGAGTGTTTTGACATCAACATTTGTGACATAGAGTCATTAAGCACTCTTCAACATGACCCAGTTCTATACTGCTCCTACTTTCGGTGAAATTGTATTTTTGACCGTAAAATCAAATTACTTCCTTTTAAGCAAAGCTTAGTTTCATTCTAGTCAAATGTTGTTTAACTATTTCCCTCTCCATTACATGTACCAATCAAACCTCAAGTAACCATTTCTAAATGTTCTCCACTGTGTATGACTCCTTTTGTGTGTATGTTCAATAATTTTAAACTTACCAGGTTAATATTTACCAAAGAAATTATTTTTAGTTCTACCTTAATTTGTTACTTGCTATACTATCAATTTTACCTAGGAAAACACAATAGAGTGTGATATGCATTTGATCATACTCTGCATGTTTGTTTAATATCTTAACCGACATGAGTTTAAGGGTTCTAGGAAAGTACAATGGATTGGATCCTATTGTTTATTGTCAGTGTATTGTTACTAATCCATTGTTTCTTTGTTCCCATGGTCTCCAGGTGCTCAAGGTACTCCCCTTCTTTCAAGCATCAACTTGTTTCTTGCATGCTCGTTATGTTATTGCTCGGTTCACGCTTGACATTCACTCCATGTATACGTATACATTTACACTAGTCCTCATTCATATACATTTCCACTGAATCCTGATCTAGAAACCAATTGTACATAACAAATAGTGAACCACTTTTCAGTTTGTTTATATGTTGGTGTAAATACCACTTGATTCGAGTAAATAGAATGTTTTGTTCACTGGAATGGTAATGTAAAACCTAGACTACTCTATAGTTGCTCGTTGTTGAAGTAGTTATTTATTCCTTAGATGGCTTTTATATTGTTTCGAGTTCAATATTTGCTTATCTCATGGTAAATAGTTATAAATGTAGTCATTTTGTAATTTGTGTAATGTAAAGGTAAATAATCTTCATTTCTGTTGGTTGCCGGAGAAAGAATACGTAATATTTTTTATTTGTTTGTGCTGTAATTGAATAGCAAAGAATGAAAAGTATAGATTCGATTTCATGTTGTTATTACAGTATTAACTCTTTAGCTTGGCTACATTAGTTAATTTCGGATTCTTTAATATAAATATAGAAATTAATTATACAATTTGAAGTTACAACGTCATAAAACTCATAAACTGTCTAATACTTTAGTTTAAATTGTTTTCAAACTAATAATAAACTTACCACTGACAAAGGTTTGTACTAACCTCAAATCCCTGAGAATGTTTGGTTTAAGTGTTAATTATTTATTTTACTCGCTTTGATCGGAATCTGATAATTACACATTCTCTGTGTGCTAAAGTTTAATAGCTACATCCTGCATTTACAAATCCAATATACTTACTTGCAACTCAAAATGCAATGTACTTTTCTAGTAATTGAAAATCTTCAATATATACTCTTATACAGTATGATACTTTAGAAATACTAAATAATAGTATGAAAAACATTTTAATATTTAATTCTAAACTTTTAAATAAATACTACACTTATAAACTAATAAAATTATTTAATTAAATGCCAATCCACTTATCATCATTCTTAGTGTTCTATGAACACTCATTGCACGAATATAAAAACTGAATTTCCTTGAAAAATAATGAAAAGTTGTAATCTTAAAGGCTCAAGTGAACGACTAATAATGAATCAAATTATTTCTTCCCTCTTGAGTGTTAAGGGAAGTAACATCAATTACAAAAGTTGTATGTCCACAGTCCAGCCCCGGCAGTAATAAGCACTTCATCAGCTGTTGAATGGCTGAATAAATTACTCGACCTGGTTTCAGAGGGATGAAAATCACTTCCCGAATTCACAGTTCAGACTAAATCCTCAATAAGATTTACTTCCTTACTGTAAAGTCAGATTCTTGGCTACTAAGCTGCAAGAACTCAAAACATTTTTGATGGATAAATTATAAAATTTTCAAGATAGATTATTTTTGTGAGATAAATTTAATTCCTCAACTGAAATAATTCAACGTATGATCATAAATTAAATTGAACATTTAGTTTATCTACTGCTAGACGTAGAATTAGCACTCTAGAATTACAGAATTGTATAAAATAATCCTAATTAAAATTTCTTTTTTTACCTTCTTAAACTTAAAACTAATGAATTAATGTTATAAATATGGTTTATTATGGGGTATTTGGCCACGGGAAAATATTGGAGCTAGTCACAAGGCTGGGAAAAATCCTGTTTCCGCCCTAGGGCCCTTGAAATTGCACATGTTATCGTCAACATCTTTATATAGCTGCAGTTTATAAAAACAGCTGATACAGGTAGCTTTTATTGCAACCTACGTATTTCTAAAGGTGTATTAGAATGTTTTCGCTTGAATCGTACACATTTGTGTTTTACCGTACATACAAATCTTAATTTAGCTAAAAAGCCTATTAATAAATTTAATGTTTGATTCAATCCGAGCAAAGCTCGGTCTCCTGGTACTTTTAAATTATAGCTACTTGTTATTCGTATTGTTATTCTTGATTTTGTATCTGCTTATCATAAAGTAATTTATTTGCAATACTGTAGTGTGTATTCAAGAACAGAAACTCTCTAATGTATTTTCCCCATCTCTCCCACTTTGAGGGAAATGTAAGCTTCTTAAAAGATTATTTTTAGAGTAAGCTCTCCCCTCCCCATCAAGGCATCTTAGACTAATTGATTTTTACACAGTTCTCATCACATTTCTATTTGCTTTTTACTGTACGGTTTTTTGTCAAATTCGCTTTTGGCATATCTTGACCACATAAAAGTGGCATGATAAGTATTTGATGCAATGTTTCCTAATTTCTATTGAATCAAATTTTAGTTTTTAAAAGTCAATTTACTTTATATACAATTTGTTTATGCGGACTACAACTTCAGTTACACTCAGGGTGAACACTTTGAGGGCAAGCATTTACTGCTTGCCCTAAATGCTAATTAATTTACTTCAACTTAATTAATTTACTTAATTAAATCGTTCTTAGAGTATTTTTTAACACTCCACACCCAAGTAAAAAAACTTACTATGTAGGTTAAAGATTAAATCTTTTTACCTGAAACAGAAGAAAAATAATTTGGTCAAAACTTAAGAGTGAAATTGAGTGTTTTACTGTAATACGGTGAATCTTGGACGTGTAACTATTTCCAACAACAGATGTTAAGAGCCACACCTTTCTCTTCTGTGGTCTCATCTCCCATCCCCTTGTGAAGCATGGATAAAGCAATTAGCATAACAAACTGAAGTTGTAGGCTGCATAAAGAAATTGTATATATAAGTAAATTGACTTTTAAAAACTGAAATTTGATTCTATAGAAAATATTTTTAATTAGGAGACATTGCATCAAATTCTTATCAGACCGCTTTTATGTGGTCAAGATATGCCAAAGACGAATTTGACAAAAAAACCGAACAGTAAAAAGCAAATAGAAATGTGAGAAGAACTGTGTAAAAATCAATTAGTCTAAGATGCCTTGATGGGGAGGGGAGAGCTCACTCTAAAAGTAATCTTTTAAGAAGCTTACATTTCCCTCAAAGTGGGAGAGATGGTGAAAATACATTAGAGAGTTTCTGTTCCTGAATACACACTACAGTATTGCAAATAAATTAACCATACAATAGAGTTTTTGCATAAGGCTATACAAAATCGGACTTTTTTTGCAATTTATTGAAATTTTATCCTTCCATAAACATAGTATTCAATATATTCAAACTTTTGCTTATAATACTATTTTCAAACATTGTTTAGAATTTAAAACATATGTTATACAGCTATTCTACAAATTAAAATGTTATAATACTAAAAAATTACGTATTCTAATATTTTAAAATATATGTCTGTAGCTTACTCAGTACCTGATTTTTACTAGTAAATTAATGATTGTGTACGCAGGATTTACAGAACATTATTACTGTATATAATAAGCAAAATCATTAATAACATTGGATAAAGCCACAGCCTCCTCCAAATACAAGAGGCCGCTGCGTTGGTGTGTGGCAACGCACCTGCCGGCCTATAGCCACGGTAACAATGCTCCATTATACTGTACATTATTACAGCTGTTTCGGTAGGCCGGGAATGCGACGTTGCCACTTTTATCCCGCTGCGGCTTTGTAGTAAAGGATGCCGTGATAAAGTTGTCGCATAACATGTAATTGCAAAAACGCCGTGCCGATATTCAAACGTGGAAATCATTAATATGGTTTCTTTTTATAATTAACAAAAATATACTCTACACCGTACACACTCACAATTCTTCAACCATTGTGTGCTTCTTGTGTTGGTACTATTGAATGAATGTGCAGCAAACTAGTACGGTAGCATTTGCAATTACACAATAAAGTAGAAAATAGTTACCAAAATAGCTGGGTTTGACTATACATAAAAGCTTAAGTTAAAGTTCTCTTTTTATTTAAACTAACATTACTTGTGAAACTAAGCCAAATTGTACAGGTTTTAAATCTTATATATCGCATTATTTTAAATTTTGTCAGTTCTGGAAGCAATAGCAACAATTATTTAATAATCATTATAATAAGATTTATTTCCAATGTTGGCTATTTTAGTAGTATTTTCTACTTATGCATGAATGCAATGCAAAATTTCAAGCCCTTCAATAACCTTTACCAGATTACCATTTATATCACCTTCTAATTGTTTTCTTATTATTTTATATTCCATGCTTATAAACACTCTTCTCACTTTTATCTTTTTAAGAATAGTTTCAGCATTGCTTTTGCAAGTGTGACAATTGGCTTGTAGTATCAATTTGTATAATTGATTTAGTAGCTGTTGAAAAATATGTTGGAAATTAAATCTATAATTCTAGATTGTAGACTAATTTATTCTATGAGTAGTTTTATATTATTCCAATTTTGTATTTAAGTGTTTTATCTTTAAGTATTAAAAAACAAATTAAACGTAATATAACATTACCACTGACGATTTATTCACAGGTTCACAATAACATTACAAATAAACGAGCAGAATTGAGCAATTCAAATAATATTCTTGGATCTGTCTTCAATATATAGGCCTATTCTTATCTAAGATTTATTTACAAACAACAATGAAGCGTCTTTTCAGTAGACGAGGATTGATATTCACAATATTTAAACCAAGAATACTTGTCCTGCTTATCTCAAGAAACATCAGAGTGCTACAGCAATAAATGATGAATCAAATTTGTAGACAAGGGTTCAGAATGTAGGCATACTGATCAAGGCAAAATGCTAGCCTAGCCACAGTGAAATAGGCAGAATCATTTACTTAAGTTCTGAAGTAGGCATCTCTGAATGGTCTAGCTAAAGCCAGATTGGTCGTTTAAGAGAATATCTAGTTGAAAAAACCTTTTGTAGGACGTGCTACAAGTTAAATTGTTGTCTTAGTTCATGTATAACTCGAATGTGTTGGCATTAATAATGCGGTTCTCTTTTCGCTTGGCATGGATAACAAGTTGGCCTTTTAGAAATGTTCTTTTACAGCTGCACATTCAACTTGACTAAATTCCTTTTCATTCTAAATCTGGATTCTACTTAAAAAGGGGAATATAACGTGTCTTTCATAATTATGTGCCACTTCAAAATTATATAAATTACCCTATATACACAGCTTTATTTTGGTAAGGTTTGAACTAGATAAAGAATGGATTTGTGTTTAGGGCACTTCCTAACTAAAAAATGTATACATTGTCAATTTGTGCCACTTCTCAAATAGATAACGTATAACGGTCTATTACTATGTCTGGGTTCTAAACTAGATAAATTACACCCAGTAGTGGGCTTTAATCAGATGATTTCATTCGGTTGGGATTGAGTTTGGATAAAGATAGTCTACGTTTGTTCGATGTCTATTCTCCACAGCTTCCCTTTGAATGAAGATTGAAAATGGAGGGAAATCAGTTTTTTTTCGATTTGCTTACTCTGAGATAATAAGAAAATTCATGATTAAATCAAGAGTCTATTTACTCATGGAAAAGTGTTTTTGATATTCATAATTTAGATTTTGTTAGACAAATTTTATAGTATGATATCATTCAAGGTTTTTTTAATGACCATTATCTCTATTGAATATTCTTTGGCCAAATTGTGTAAAAGCAGGAGTTGAGTGAACAATGAATGTGTTTCGGTGTCATTACTGGAGTAAATATTAGTTTTGTTATCTGAAAAAGCTACATCGATCTTTTTCTCTGTTTTTAATTAACAACATTGGTGAAAATTTGAAATTTAAAAATACAGTATAAGTTAATAAAATTTATAAAAATTCAAGTAAGTGCACTTAAAAAAACCTTTGAATGATATCAATGTTTACTCTCTATAGTGCTATCCCATGTGCTTCGTAACATAGATTTGTTTAACATAGGGATTAAATGGTAGGGGGGGGGGTGGATTGTACGAGTATAACGCTTTGAGAATGCTTTGATTGGTGGGTGCGGATAACTCCAATCACTTCAATGGCCACTTTGATGCACACCATATTGTGTTAGATATTGATCACGTATTGGGAATTAGTATTTCATGTATGGAATGTATCAACAGTCTTCCAAAAATATGAGCAATATAGCTGATCTGACTTTGCTCTTGATAACAAATTAGACGAAAAATAGTTCATTCTCTTTAAACAATTAATTGGAAAAGTAATTATATATTGAGCCTTGTACTTTAGTCTGACACTCGTAACTTTTTGCAGTAATTTTATCTTCAACTTAATATTCTATAAGTAAAATATACAAAATGATTCCATGAAATAATAGAACAACAATTTAGTTTTCTTTGTAAATTTCTTATTACATCACCTGTGCCTGTGGTTTTCTTATACTCAAGTACATTTCAAATTATTACAGCAGCATCACAAATGGATACACAGGTATTGTACAAGTTTGATATTTTCAAACCTGCATTATGTTTCTACTGTTGGTTAAGTGCAACTATATTGGAACTACAAAGAATGTTAGGAACTATTGATGTTCTAATGACTGTTCATTTTTCAGACAATGGCTGCTACTAGACAGAAGGGGGCTGGTTTGACTTCAGCTGTTCCAAGAGCAACTTTGAATGATGAAGAACTGGTTAGTGGCATTTTATTTTCATTTAGTTTTTGGGTCAATGACATATTTTACATTTTTCTCAAGAGACAGGTCCAACTCCTGGTCTTGTTCCTACATAATTGGTTTGGTTAGATGACACAATTAATTGACAGCCAATTACAAATGGGGTTATAACTATTGAAATCAAACATTTAACTTTTCAATTTAAAGATGAGCACCATCACCACTCGGATCCAAGGTAACCTTTGTATAAATCAAAGAAAATGTGTGTTCACAATAATAGTGTACCTATCAAACAGCTTTTAATTCTCGAGTAAAGGGGGGTAAGGGCATGAATCAATTTTAAGTCTCGACTATAGGATATTAAAATCCATCATTCAAAATCATTTGATCACTTACATTTCATTAAATAGAAACAACCAATGTCTTTCACGTTAAAACATGTTTCCCAAGCTTTTATTCCTGATCTACTTTGTTTCTTGGGGACTGAGCTTTACTCTGGGCATATCATTACAATGATCATTAATACACTGTATTCTCTGAGAGCAGTGTTTGCTCAATGTCATTCGTCCTGCATCAGCCTAGACACTATTTTAGGCTACAGCTCACAGGCTTAAGTAATTGGTTTGGTTCACTGATCTAAACATCTAAACCTAGCAGTTGTATAACAAATCCTGATCTTATGAGAATGCATCCTTTTGGAATACTTTTTTGTAATTCGTACACAGAAGATTGATTATAACCAATCTTATATTATTGTTACCGTTGGCAGTTACTACTCACTACAATTTACAACTGTATGCTCACATAAATGTTTGTTCCCCAGAAAATGCACGTGTACAAGAAGACCCTGCAAGCTCTGATCTACCCGATCTCCAGTACAACGCCGCACAACTTTGTCATGTGGACAGCAACTTCGCCAACATTCTGTTACGAGTGTGAGGGTCTGCTTTGGGGAATCGCACGGCAGGGAGTGCGCTGCACTGAATGCATGGTTAAGTGCCACGAGAAGTGTAAAGATCTGCTCAACGCTGATTGTTTACAGAGTAAGTTCACACTCGATAAAGTAAGAGTTAAAAAATTACCATTTGTTAGTACTTTTAGACAGAAATGGGCCAATTCTGGCGAGGGGCATTTTATTTTCATTTAGTCTTTGGGTCAATGACATTTTTTACATTTTTCTACCCGATTTTACCAAAATACAGTTTATTGCCTGTGCCTCTTGCACCAATTGAATGGTTTGGATGGAAACCCCTTACACAAAAAATGAGGTGTAAACATTCCCATTTTACATAGAAAAATCTCCCAAATATTAATGCTGAACGGACAGAATGTTTGGTTTTGTATATTTATAGATTTTGTGTTGAGAGATATATAGCTCCAAGTCACTTCTGAGTAAAAGGATGCGGTTAAGATATTTAAAATTGAAAACGATGCGATCACATTCCAAACAGTTGGTATTGGTACTCGAGTACAAAGGCGCGGAGGGTGAAACTCGAGTGCCAAATACAATGCACTTTGATGCCACAAAAGCTCTTTGTATCTTGAGTTGGAGTCAGCTCCATTTACCATTGGTCCTCCTCAGTGAATCACTGTTTAGGAACTCCTAATGAACTCAAAAAAGGTTTTGCACACTTTTCATTATAGGTTCTTGTTTTTTTTTCACTTTTAAGATTTTCAAAAGAGATTTGCACACTACTCGTTCTTAAAATGAAATGAAAATACTTTTTTATTGAGGCGAACATTAGGACCACATGGTCCTTTCTTACAGTTAACCTCTTATGTACTAAATATATACTAAACAATGTATTTTTACAAAACTTTTAAAACTATAAACAAAATAATAAGTAAAAACTTAAGTTATAAATCTTTGTCCCTAATATACGCATACACACACACATTCACTCTTTGCCATACCTAGGCCTAACGCACGCCATCCCACCAAGCCACGGTCATCCGATCGAGATAGTACGCCTTCAGCGCCGCCGTCAGTTGGGAACGGGATTCTATACTCCTGATAGTAAATGGTAGTGAGTTCCAAAGGCGACATGCTGTTACTGTAAATGATCTATTATAAACTGTTGTCTTATGGTGAGGAATTTGGAGAGTTGATGAGCCAGAGCGGGTATTTCTTGCACCTCTTTCATTTAAAAATCTAAAATTGATCGCGAGATAATTTGGAATTTCTTATCATTGGTATTTGGTATTGGCATTTTATTTGGTAATTGGTATTTCTTATTTTTTGGTTCTTATCATTTTCCTGTGCCTTACATTAAATTGTGGAGGTTAAATATTGTCTTTGTCTTGTTTGTATTAGTATTTTTGCAATAGTATGTCACACCTTTCCGATGCATTGCCGAAACAACCAAACTAAGAATGTGAACTTACAAGTTAGGTTCGTGATATGAACTCACAACATGATGAGAAAATATGAAGTTTTTGTATTTGAAAACATTATTAACAACTAAGAACCCTTGTTTAATGCATTTTATTGGAACAACTAAATGTTAACAAGAAAAACAGGTTGTTGTTACCTTAAATTCTTTTATAATATATACTGTACACACACACACACACATCTATATCTTAATCTTGCCTGAGCTAATAACTAGTTGACCCATCCTGTAATTTGTTTAGGTGAAGTTGGACTATCATAAATTTTTAGTTTGAAGCACAGATCCCTTGTCTCCGAGAGAAGTCATTTATCTTGATTATGTTGCAATGGTGTTTTTAACTTTTTCTAATGCATTGCCTAACAAAGAATAACCATAGTTAGTTGTGCTTAGTAACATGTTAGTTAAATTTAATAACCAACAGAGCTTGTGATAATGTATCCCTTATGATACAAATTAATTTAAAACTCTCAATTCAAACCTCCTTAGTTTGACAATGATTATATTATATTAATATACTGTAACTTGAAATTCTTACAGGTAAAGTGCTTCATTTCGATGATTGTATGGATAAAGATAGAAGTAATTTAATGACATCATTGTATATAAACCTTTAGAATGAGAGGAAAGAAATATTTATTAATCACACGTTCACTAAATACTGATTATTAAAGTCTCAGCTTCTTTGTTTTCCCTTTGTTTTTTTTTCTCAGTTTAATACATTTTCTTTAGTCCCTGCAAGTTTAATGAAGAGTTTAAAATGCAGTGGGTATTGTAGTATTGAGTGTTGTGTAGCACATTAATTGGAGTTTGTAGATTTATGTAAAGAATTTTTCATTAATTTCAAATGTTGAAGTACATCTATGAACACATAATCAAAAAATGTATTCTATGTGGTAAATATGGGCTAAATAAGGTGCTAAGTAAACTAGATTTACCAGTGTAACACGCCACAGCCAAAGTGTGTGTGTGTGTGTGTGTGTGTGTGTGTTTGGAAATGTGGCTCTGTCTCATAGACTGGCCTTTGATCTAACCATCTGACAACATGTTTCAGGGGCTGCGGAAAAGAGCTCAAAGCATGGAGCAGAAGACAAAGCAAATACAATAATAACAGCGATGAAAGAGAGGATGAAGCAAAGGGAAAGGGAAAAGCCAGAAATCTTTGAGCTGATAAGGTGTGTTTAATAATTAATTGTGTACATAATAGATTGAACTATTTACGTAACAAACTACCTAAGATTAAAATAAGTGTCCGAAGAAAAGAGTAGAGTGTTGAGTCAAGCAATTTATTTTTTAGCAGACCAGCCTGGTTTTCCAACAATTGAATAAGTTAAGTCAGTTCAAGTAGAAAATATTACCTATATATTTTTTGGCAGATATGTAAGTTTACTTCTTGTCATAATTAGTTTAAATGATAAATAATCTCTACTGAATCAATAACACTAATATTGAAAAGAGTCATTGAAAAAAAACACTCAGTAACCAGGATTTTTTCTTCCCTAACCATATTTTGCATGGATTAACAGATTTCATTGGGAAATAATAGCTAATAAGCTGTATATAAGGACATCATACCGTGTATGTTTGATGGAAGATCACAAGAATTAATTATGGATAATCAAGGATTTAGGTTAAGGGGTCAGTAAATAAAGTACATATTGGTTTTACGCTTATCTAATTTTTAGATCAAAATTAACCCTCAATAACCATCTAATAAAAGTAACTATCTCTGAACCCCTCCCAAACTTTCTTCCTTTCAGTCAGAGCGGAATTTAAACAGAATATAAAGGGTGACTTAAAAAAACAGAATTAAAATATTTGTTATGTGATAATAAATAAAGAAACTCTTGCCATTTAAGAAACCCAACAGTTCTTGTGATATGATTGTTTTTTTAGATCGTTGGGCGTGGGAACTGCAGTTACTTGTTTATCAATTGCTGCAGGCTCTCTAAAATAGATTCAGTGCAACTTCAATATTCTGAGAAGTGTGAACTTTGCTTAATCATCCTGTTAATTTGTCCTATGGCACAGTTTTAGTCTCGTCAAAGTTTTTGATTAAACTTTTTACCTTGTATTTAGATGTCATAGAACCTAAGTATGTTCCAAGTATTAAAAATGAACAAAGCTCCTTCCCTTGTGTTGCTATCATACAACTTACAAATGATTATGGTTTTATGGAACTTTTTTACTGTGAATGCAGCTGTTTTCCTGAGATATTTTATGTCCTCTACTGATTGCTACCTTGTACTCAATTCTGCCGTTAATTTTCACAAAGTTCTTGATTTTCTGTATTGCCCTCTGTTTATTTGATTCCAAACAGCAGGGTGTCTACAAGTTACTGAAACACTAGATTTTAGTTAAAAGTCATTCTAAGTCGTGGGTTTTTATCAGGGCCACGTAAATAAACTATAGTTCGGCCGCTTAGAAAACGACCTGCGCGCTAATGCTAAACCAATGCTGGAGGAGGTCGCTTTCTAAGCGGCCGAACTATAGTTTAACCATTTATTTTTTTCATCCTCTGACATTAAAGGTTACAACATAAAAGTTAAATTTAGTTAAATAAATTATGTGACTAAGATAAAATAAAGGCGATAGATCCATAGATTAAAGTCTTCACCAAGCTCCGCCCCTCAGAAACATAATCTTTGTTCATACTTGGCCAAAACAGTTATTTCCCCTCCCATTGTTTTAGACTACTATTATGAGATAATCATCATTATGATGAGGCTAATTGGGTGGGCACTGGCTAGAATGTTGTGTATGAAGTAAAGAACATGACATCGGTGCCAGACTTTAACTAGGTCTGTTCGTCTCGATGGAAGCTCAAATGTGCTTAATTAAGATGAAACTCACTTTAATTATGGACAGCCGTAATAATTGACTTAGTTTTCAACTCATAGTTCCTGAAATTTGAGAATTTCTCTACATTTTTCTAAAGTTTTCTGGATACAAAAAACTTTGAGGAAAAATGTCTTTGAAAATTCGCCCTTAATTTATAAGGAAATTAGACAGTGAATATTTTAACATAATGTGCACCTTTGTAATTTACTTTTTTTTCTTCACCCTCAAATGGAGTATTATTTTATAGTTGTAGTTATTACATATGAAATGGCATTTGTATAAAATGGGCACCACCATATTTTTACGTGGTGTTGCCATTCAGTAAAACAGAGTTTGATGAGTGTAAGATCTTGTTGGCTGTGTTGTGAACCTGTCGTGCTGATGCTAGGGCGATTTTCGGTGCGGAGGAGAAGAGTCACATCGGGCACATGAAGGCAGTGAAGCAGTCTGTACTTGACGGAACCTCCAAATGGTCGGCTAAGATCGCAATTACAGGTTTGTGACGTGATTCTGCCCATGAAAATACTCTATGGCTGATGGTGTGTTGTAAAACTGTCTGTATGTATCTTCCTCTCTTTTCCCATTAGCACATTTTTGTTTGATTGGGTTTGGTTGTATAGTTTTAGTTTTAGTTTGTTCTCTGTGTCCTCCTTAATTGTTATACTTTTGGTTGTCCTGGAAATAAATATAATTTTTTTATATATTGATGAATAAATAAGATGACACATTATAAATACATTTTTATTTCAAACTATTTCTAAAAAAAGCTAACACCAAGAAAAAATTACCAGTTCAATTTGTAAATTTAACTCAATAACACATTTTCATGTAGGCCTACCCATATGTAACAAGTTTAAACATTAAACGATTGTTCACTAACTGTTCAAATAAATAAATCAGACAAATCAATCAGAGGTACCTTACAACACAGATAAAGTTTATCAGATAAATCAACTGATCACTATTGAGAGAGAAGAAATGTTCTCGTTAGCCGATAGCAACTAACCTTGTTGTCGGGAATAACTTTGCCGCTATCCAGGGGAAATTGCCTTCAGTTGTACCAACAGCTGCAACATTAAATTTCCCTTTGCATTATTCTTGCTACAACAATTAAATGTTTCATTTTAGTACAATTAAAAAGCTGTGATTTGTATTGGAAAATAACATTTAAATTTTATCGCTCATAAATACTCCTTTCTAATAACATTTTAGTTTTTTATTAATTCATATAAATTGAAAACTGAAATGCTGTTTTTGAAATGGTTAACATTAACTTATGGTAGACCGATTCAGTAAAGGACCTATAAATTATTTAACCAATGCCTGTATATATACTTATGACTATAATATTACGTTATCATTATTGGTTTCAATAAAGAATAACAGCTTTTAAGTAAGATATTAAGATTTACAACTATTCACTATTCAGTTAATTAAACTTTTTTAAACCTAGACATTTTCTTCTCTTGATAATGGATAACATTTTTAGTTTTTTTTTTTAGTTTTTGTGTTCCCAAGATCAAAGTTTTATGTTTCTATCCACTATTTTTCATCTCCTCTCTGTTTTTATTTCCTACTCCTCGCCATATATTTCCTCATTCCTCCGCTTCTCACTGTTTTCCCCATTTCCCCCCACTCCTCACACAGTTTTTCCTCTTCCTGCTCAGTGTTTCAGCTCGGGTTCCAGCCTGCAGATTGCATCCTGATTGTTTGTTTGTTGTCTGTCAGTGTTCTAATTGTTTTGATCAACAGAAAGACTTTCACGATGGATCCTGACACTCATATAGACTCGCTGGATCAAGCCGAAGCCATTGTGCTTGAGGGCACGTCCAAATGGTCCTGCAAAATCGCTATCACAGGTTAGGCTCGAGCAAGCCACATTGCCTGCCACCGACTGACTATTCTACATGTCATACCTCCCCTGGGCTAATTTTCCTCTGTCAATTTATTTATTAAAAATTTACTATGAATAATTTCTTAATTTAATGTGTGAAATAATAAAATCCTTAGGCATACAAAACTATAGAATTTCAATTCCCAAAAAAATATTTAGCAATAACTAACACTCAGTTATGAAAGTATATAAATGACTAGATTGATTGATAATTATAGCACACGAGTAAAATTTTTGATTGAAATTGAGCGCAACATTTGCACAGTAATATATTAAGTAAGATATTACATATTACATTAATATAATTATTATTACATATTATAAGATGGTATATTTTATATTGGGTAAATATAATAACCAAAGTAAACAAGAACAATATTCTTTCTTGTTTATTATGTTTAGAAAATAAAACAGTTTGATTAACTGGCAGGCAGTTTAAACCATTACATTAACTAGGTTCTTTAAATGTCAACGATCCTGTACTGATGAATGATTTTGTTGCAATTCACCAAAATTTCATTGAGGAGTTACAACTTTCATTAGATGTGTAAATACTAAATGGTTACAGATAAAGAGGATTACAATTTGCTTATCACCTTCATTGATTACAATTAATTTTTTCAGTGATCTACTTTAAATTAAACCTAATAAATATATAAATATTCTGATGCTCATGATTAAGCTTGATTAAAACAGTGGTTAACGCAGCAGCAAAAACTAAATTAACATATAAATGGAAAAATTAAAATGTTGGTGAATAATTTTTTTTGTTGGTTTATTATATCTGCTCACAAAAAAAAACTGTCCAAATTAACTTGCTATGTAACAGGTGTGTGTGTGTGTGTGTACACCAGAGCCAATGTTCCATATGGAATTTTTATGGTATTGAGAGAGTATGCTAGACTACCATCAAATCATTTAGCAGTATAAATTTTCCTAAATCTTCCTCAATTGTTTGCATTGTTTAGGTTGTTCTTAAACCTCTCATATATTTCTCCCGCATCATATGGTATGACATGTAGATGTGTCGTGTTGGTATGCCTGCTGGTGTGCAAAGCTGACAGAACCACATCTGATCACGCAACACCCCGTATAACCCCATACAACCCCGTAGGACATGGGAAACTAACATCTAGATTAGACAAGTGTATCTGGCTTAACAAGGAGATAACCACCAAATCTTAACCTTTTCAAAGGTTTTCTGATCAATTTTTCTCAAAAAAAATTATGCAATTTTTAATAAGATAATTTTTTAGGGTAGGCCAATTTCAAACTTTTTTGTTTTGTTTTGTAAATTAGATTTTGAACAATAATTAGACAATTTTATTTCATAGATCCAATTCCCCACGCAGTAACCAAACTTTTTTCAATCCTTTTTTAAATGTAGGGCTACCAAGTTAAGATAAACGTATATTTTTTTGATGTTGGTATGATCAAGTTTTTATTTTTCTATGACCAATTGATATGTTTTTTCAAACAAAAGGGTTTAAAGTAATGTAATGTTTTATGTATATTTTTTACCGATATAGGATTTTTTAAATCTATTAGGGTTATTAATATCTATAAGGGATCTTTTCAAAATTGCTTGTCAGATCTTAAGATTTATTAAATTCACTAATGCAGGAATACTGCCAAAACTGTTGTTACTAGTTGTAAAATAAAGTGAACCATCATGGGAACATTTCATGCCAACCCAATAAAGTACCTGGCCCATCTTTTGACATTATTTTCATCCAAAGATAGTATTTCCAATTTTTGTTTGAACTTTAACTTTAATGAGGTTTATAAAACCATCTTAAGTTGATTCTTTTGTTGGGTTGTTGTGTATAGGGTATGATTTACACAACTGTTCCTAATTTAAAAAAATATATCTTGTGGAAACAAACTAAATATTTACCAAAAGAATTATATGAGTCAAAGAGAAATTAAATTATGAATGATCTTTTGTCAACACGTTTCAATTTTGCATGAATACAAGAATGTGTTAAGCCAGATATATACACAGAACCAAAACAAATTTCAAAACCTGAGGAGTTGTATAATTTTTGTACAGTAAAACAATGTTTGAAAGTACCGTAAAACTTAAAGGCTACGGTATGTTTGTTACTTTTTAAAATATAAACTAATAATCAACAAGTGTTCTGATCTAGTTAAGCTTTGACTACAATTATACAAATGCACAAACTAGCACAATATTTTCCTCTCTACTCACTTTTCAACACTTTTCACTTTTTTATGAGGACATTGCTCAAACTTGAATCGACTTTGAAATTTATTTTGGTTGCCAGTTCATATCAATACATTTTACTCCGATTCAGTAGACACATTTTTATCATTCTTCCACCTGAAGTTCTTTATCTTCTTCTTCTTCACTTATTGTTACTGGGTAAGATAGTGAAATTAAACAAGCTGCACAACAAAATACTGCCAATGTGTTCAATGTTTGCGCATTGCGAATCAACGTTAAGTGTTAAAATATTATTTCAGCTACTAAATTATTTAATATTAAGTTTACTTAAAAATAGCTTCTCATTGTTGTAATCATTGCTAGCTAATTGTTTGATGTAACATAATCATTAACCATATCTTCATTCATTTATCACAACCACTAGCAAAAATTGAATTCTAAGGAAACGCCATGTGGCTGACTTGAAGCTTAAAATAATAGGTGCACAAAAATTCAATGTTTGCCATTTTTTTACATTGAGTAAATACAACCACGAAAGTAAACAAACCAATCATCTAACTTTTTATTTGTGTTGAAAATTTAAAAACTCAATTAAGTTGCAAGGATATAATATAACCCAAAAAAATAAATCCATACTAAACATTGAGTTACTGTTCGAGTACTTTTACTAGCACAACATAGATGAAACAATTTAAAAATAGATAGATTTAATGAAGTACTGTAAGTTTTAATCAAGTACAATTGAAATTATCCACTAGTTATAATCTGATGAAAAAGATAATACTTATTGCAATAAAAATCTTTCTGTAGATATCTTTCATTTTACTTGACTATGTAGTTTCTAGTAATGTAATACTAATCTTTGTAGATGTTGATAATGATATTTCAGCTGTAGTAGGTAGTCTACTTTCTAGAGCAGCCTGTTTTTCATCGGCATGATTACTTCCTGTATACTTTAGGTCTTATTGCAATTTAAACATTTAAAGAAAGTTTATGGTAAACTATGAGTAGTTTTGTTACAATATTTACTATTACCTTTTATAGTTATCTCACAAGTATATTATAGTGATGTTGAAATTGGCTAGAGGCATGTTTTAGACATTATATATTTGATATTATTGCCTCAGAAAGTTTTCACTTTGAACCATTTGTAATGTATGCTTAGTAATAATGTATTTATTATCTGTTACAAAAATTTGCCACGGCAAACTGTATAAGTTGTGATTTGTGTGAAAAAACTGATATAAAATAATTTATCTATTAGGAATTAATTATTAATATTTAGAATTGTTTCACTAATGAGGATTGGAACCACTTACTCAGTATTGTGTTGCCTCAAAAGTTTCATTTATAATTTTTGAAGTTTTAACAGTTTTAAATGTAGCTTTTCATTATATAATATGAAACTACATTGATATAAAATATATCTAAATGTGTTTTCTAGAATATTGATACGTACATATTGAATATTATATTAAATATAAAGGGTTAATGTTACTCTTTATAGTGTTCTTTATTTTGCATTGATAACAATTAGAATTAATACATACATACTATGTTTGCTTGGAGTTATTTTTATCTTAACCTTCTTTATGTCAATAAAAAATTCTCAACTTAAATTCAGGTGTTTTTTTTGTTTTTTTTTTTTATCAAATTATCTTATCTTTGAAATATGACCAATGAATTGCTTTATTTTGTATTCTATAACAGTCTTGTCTACAGTCAAGATTTAATTAAAAAGTTTAGTCAACCTAATTTAGTATGTCAATTTTAAAACAAAGGAATTAAATTAGAATCATAAAATCTCCATGTATGTTTGAACAGAGTATACATATTCCCCATAAATGCTTCTGCAAGTAACTTTTGAGACTGATATTTTTCTTCTTTCTGCAGTGATCTGTGCCCAGGGTTTGATAGCAAAAGACAAGAGTGGAACTTCCGACCCTTATGTTACAGTACAAGTAGGTAAAGTGAAGAAGAGGACGAGAACAATGCCTGCAGAGTTGAACCCTGTATGGAATGAAAAGTTTTACTTGTAAGTGTTTTTTTTTGTTTTTTTTTACTGTTTATTGTTTTTTTATTCACCCATAACAATATAGGGAGGCATGTCCGTTTGGGAGAACTAAAAAACGACTGAACCCTACTAGGCTGAAATTTGGCATAAAGGTAGCTCGTGGTCCAGGTGTGACACATAATTTAGAATTTACAAACATAATTTAGAGTTTTAATCAAAAGCCCTGTAGCTAAGGTTTCAATATTCTATAACTTTTTCTGGATATATTTTTGTGGCAATAAATGATTCAAGGCCCTAAAGAAGAATTTGAAGGTACAAGGGTCGTCCAGAAAGTAATGGACATTTCAGATCAGCGTCGCTTGTTACTTTCTGGACGGACCCTCGTATTTGCAATAAACAAATCTTACTGCTCTTTCATTGAGTATTTTGAGAAAGATTATTGATGCCATTCTGAATTCATATATTTTAAAACCCATGACTAAAGATTTCTGACACTGATAATCTTTTTTTCTAGTGAGTGTCACAACTCTTCAGACAGAATCAAGGTGAGAGTTTGGGATGAAGACAACGACCTCAAGTCCAAACTGCGCCAGAAACTCACTCGCGAGTCTGATGATTTCTTGGGTCAGACTATAATTGAAGTAAGTTTTGGTTGACATATTCCCCACAGAATTCAGGATCAAACTGTAACTGAATCTGATTATTATAATTATGTAAATAGCCAAATCAATTTTATTACTTGGTAAGGTGGTATGGTACAACATTCAATGAGTATTTGTAGCTTTTAAACATACAGATAAAGAATATAAAATTGAAAATCATTGAAAATGGATACTTGCCACGGACATAGTTGGATACTTAACATCTAGAGCTCATTGATTTTTACATCAAACATCACAACTATTTCACTGTTAAAAAACATTAGGAGAATTCAGAGAATTATTTGTATTATATTCAGCTCAAATTGAATTAAAAATTATATTTTTCATGAATTAATTAGACATGAATAGATTTAAATCACTTTTTACTTGCTCTAAAAGTGCTTTTTGATACTTGCATTGTATTTTTGAGTTTGAATTTAGTGCTTTAACGGAGCAACATTAAAAGCAACCATAAAATGGGATAATTTTTCTTCATTTGTGCTGATGGATAAAAAAATGGTACCATCTCTAAAACATGTCATAACCAAGCTAAACTTCTTTTTTTGGAAAATTTCACTCATAAGCCGCAGTGATCTTCACATCAGATAGCAGGATTTATTTCGAAAACACTGGTATTATTATAACTTTAAAATAAATGTTATTTCTAGGTGAGAACACTGTCAGGTGAGATGGATGTATGGTACAATCTGGAGAAACGAACAGATAAGTCAGCTGTTTCTGGAGCTATCCGACTACATATCAGCGTCGAGATCAAGGGAGAGGAAAAGGTAGGAGCTTTGCTAAGAAATTATTTTGATTATAATTTAAACCATTTGGCTTGCAAGGAATTTTGTGTAAAGGAATCAATTCAGCAAGCTTACCTGGGAAGATTAGAGTCCAAGGGCCGATACTTACACGATAAAAGAACACAAAACACAGCTCTGATATATCGTCCTGATGTAGTATTTCTTCAAAGAGTAGTGCACTGTTTTTAAACTGTTATATTGTAATCGATCAACATTGCAGGTCGCGCCTTACCATGTGCAATATACGTGCCTTCATGAGAATCTGTTCCACTACCTGTGCGAAGAGAACTTTGGAATGGTGAAACTTCCTCAAGCCAAGGGGGATGATGCTTGGAAAGTCTACTTTGACGAACCAGGCGAGGAAATTGTTGATGAGTTCGCAATGAGATATGGCATTGAATCAATATACCAGGCAATGACGTAAGTGTATTTGAATAATAGTTTGTTTCTGACTAGTATTTTTTTTATAATAGTGTATTTGTCTATTTATTGAAAAGTATATTAAAGTCACTTAAAATATGTATAAGATTGTGATTGGGTGGAATCTTCAGTAAAAAGGTAAGCTAAAATGTCCAAATTCTATTTTCTCGATGATGCCATCATAATTCATTGTTACGATTTGAAAAATACTAGTTCACAATAATGCTGACATAGTTTAGTTGATATCCGATAAATGCGGAGGTCACAGTAGACCAACTTGTATAACACTGCACCGTGACTCCAACCGGAGTCCTACGCACGCTGTGCCAGTACAGAATGAATCTGATCGGAGTTGTCAGCAGCGAACGTTTTAAATAGGATTGGATCGTCTAGTTCTCCCTATAGAAGTTATACACACTGCCTGGAACACTTTTAGATGAGTTAGTCTCATCTCTGAATGATGTCATTCTTCCACTTTTTAACTATCAAGTAAAATTATACAACCCTTTAGAGAATGTTATATTATATATTATAGTTATGAAACACAGCTGAATCTAGTATCATGTTGGCAGGCATTTCCATTGCTTATCCACCAAGTACCTGTGTCCGGGAGTACCAGCTGTTATGAGCACACTCCTAGCCAACATCAACGCATACTACGCACACACCACTGCGTCTTCCGCCGTCTCCGCTAGTGATAGATTTGCTGCTTCCAATTTTGGTGTAGGTCTTTTTCTGTAATTCTTTTTGTTTTTGTATCTTTGTGTAAGCATTTTTCTGCACCAAAAAATTTTTGAAATATTTGTGTAAGGTCCAAAATTTTGTCTTATCTATCTCACTGGCTCAAGATAAGGATGGAAAAGTCATTAGTGTTATAAGAATTGCTGCTGACAAGCCTTTTTATAAGGCTTATGCAGCTAAGTATTAGAAAATTAATTGTTTATGTCACGAATAAATAATAAAAATAAATAAATATAAACACAACCTTTTGTTAAAAAGCATTTCAATAAAGCAGTCCAATTGAAAGTTGAAAAATAAACAAAGGGTGTCTGAATTGGTCCCAAGTCTTTTGGCCAGTCATATACTTTATCAAATACAGAAACAACAGTAATATGTTAAAGCTCATAATAATTAGTGATGTGACGAGTTGAGTTGGCGAGTCGAGTTGACTCGAGTCAAGACCCGAGTCGAGTCAACTCGAGTCATCTCATTCACAACTCGAGTTGGTACGAACTCGTACGGAGATTGCCGAAGCTACACGAACTCGTAACGTTACGAGTCCGACTCGCAAAAGCCGAGTCAAGAAACCGAACTCATACGGAGAAAGCCGAACCTTAACGAACTCGGGACGTAACGAGTTGACTCGAGTTTACTCGCACTCGCTTTCGGGCAATAGCGTCACAGCTTTACGAGTCAACTCGCATAGATTCAACGCTATTGGCGGAACGCGAGTTGAGTTGACTCGTATAACTGAAACCCTATTGGCCGAGTGCGAGTATAACCCTTCACGATCCACAAAACGAACTCGTACGGAGAATACATACATACCTACATACATTACATTATTTGTCATGAGAGCCGAAGCCCCCTGACTGCATACCCGGTACCTGTCGTGAGACTTACCCGGGCCCCATGATGTAGGCCAAAGCTTACGCATCAACCTTTTGCACATCATGGGCGGATGACTTAAGGTCATCAGGCTCACCGGCTGCCGAAGCAGACCCTTCGGAAAGAGGGTTGCCCCTCAATCCTAACCAGGGTTTCCGGCTACTTGTTTAAGCGTCACTCCACCTGGGTTTGACTAGGTCGGGACCTAGAGGTCCATGGTAGAGCGCCCCGACGCATTTAGTGCAAGTAACACTCGGGACCTATCTAATCCCTGACAGGCAAGCCCGCCATCAATAGCCAGAAGGAAGGGGACCGTCAGCACGCTGACGGGGGGAACCCCAACCTCCCATTTACACCACTACCCGATCGAGGCCTCCGGAGAATTTTTATATTTATATTATATTATATTTGTTGTCATGAGAGCCGAAGCCCCCTGACTGCATACCCGGTACCTATCCTTCAGGACATACCCGGGCCCCATGATGTAGGCCGAAGCTTACGCATCAACCTTTAGCACATCATGAGCGGATGACTTAAGGTCATCAGGCTCGCCGGCTGCCGAAGCAGACCCTTCGGAAAGAGGGTTGCCCCTCAATCCTAACCAGGGATTCCGGCTGCTTGTTTAAGCGTCACTCCACCTGGGTTCCACAGGTCGGAACCTGGAGGTCCATAGTAGAGCGCCCCGACGCATTTAGTGCAAGCAACACTCGGGACCTATCTAATCCCTGACAGGCAGAACCCGCCATCGATAGCCAGGAGGAAGGGGACCATCAGCACGCTGACGGGGGGAACCCCAACCTCCCATTTACACCGCTGCCCGATCGAGGCCTTACCCATTGCTGGGAAACCAGAGATAACCAGAGCGATAGATCCCCAGATACCCCTGGCGGGCTCGGACCCAGCACCCGATCTATTTCGTTTGCCCGTCAGACCCAACATCACTGCCAGGCCATCAGGGTTTCCCAAAAGGAGGCAGGTATAGAAGTGGGACCCACCCGGATGAACCTATCCACCAGAGGTGGCGACACCCTTGACTCAATTGAGGTTCCGGGAAGAACCCCCCACACTCAAGATAACCATACCGTCCGTGCTCAGAGACAGGGATAGGTTTGCATAAGTACCTACAAACCGTTGCCCTCACACTGCGGAAAGTTACGTTGCCCTTGAGTGTCCCCGTGAGCTGCGGGTACTTGCCCGTTTTCACCTCCAGGAAAGGTTACTTCCAAAGTCGAGGATTTGCCCACTGAATGCTGGTCGCACACAACAAGCAGGCCGAAGCCCAAAGAACCACAGACACAGGTAGGTTAGAGATTATGATGTACTTCCATCTCTCCTAGAGCTAAACACCCCTCCATCCTGGATAAAGGAATGTCACTGGGACCCGATGCCCAGTCGACCATGTCTGTGGCCAACTTGAAAATGCCGATACCAACACGGAGCATTTACCTCCCCTCTGGGGGCTAGGTATTTCACCTCCCAGGACGAGGCTACTTCCAAAGTCGAGGATATGCCTCACAAAATGTCAGTCGAACACAACAGGTAGGACTCAGTCACAACCACAGTTACAGGTAGATGAGGAGAGGCGGAATTAACGGCGTCACTGAGAGCTAAACACCCCCCCCCCACCCTGAATGGAGGGAATGTCACTGGAGGCTCCCCCTAAGGGGCTGGCGCTTACCAGTCGTCCATAACTGTGGTCTACCTGAAGTGCCGGGTCTGACACCGGGCAGTTACCTCCCCTCTGGGAGAGGCCTCCGGAGAATGCCGAACTCACACGAACTCGGAACGTCTCGAGTCGAGTCGAGTCGACTCGTAAAGCTGACACGCTATTGGCCGGTACCGAGTCGGCCGACTCGCAAAACTAACGAACTCGTACGGAGAATGCCGAACTCACACGAACTCGGAACGTCTCGAGTTGAGTCTGACTCGACTCGTAACTCGAGTGCACGGCAGTTGGCGAGTCGAGTCACTCGAGTCAAGAAAGTACCCGACTCGTCACATCACTAATAATAATATAGAACTTTTCAAATAAGTAACATAATGCACTTGAGCACAAAAAATTGTAGGCAAATTTCACCACTAAATTAAGGAACATTGATGAAACATAAAACATTTTTAAGAACCGGTATTGTGTATGGACTTCATTTTGTTTGATACAGAACTTCAGATTGTGATTCAGACAACCACCTACATAAGACTGCCAGATATCAAAATGTTGTGGAACTTTTTAAACTTATCATTACGGGAAATTGAGCAATAGTTCCTCAAATAATGTTATTTTTCTTTTATTATACTACATTACATATTATACCATCTACTGATGAAATTTAATACACCTTGCTACATACTACTTCTCCTCTCTGCAGAAAGAGAAGTTTGTCAAGCTGCTGGATCAGCTGCACAACTCTCTACGCATTGACTTGTCCATGTATCGCAACAACTTCCCAGCCTCTAGTCAAGAGAAACTGATGGATCTCAAGTCAACTGTCGATCTACTCACAAGTATCACGTTCTTCCGAATGAAGGTCAGCCTAGTATAGGTTTCAGTAAAATTTTATAGAATCCCTAACACTCTCTGATTTATTGCAATATTATCAAACACTATTCATTCATCCAAATTTTATGCTTCTAGGACTTGCATCTATGAAATAAGTAAGGTAATTCCCTTGCACAGTAGTGGATCTATTGTCAAAGTAATCACCTATGTTTTCACTACTTGTATGAAACTTGTTGTAAAGCATGTTGAATATTTATTTTGCCTGTTTCAGGTGCAAGAGTTATCCAGTCCACCACGGGCCAGCACTGTGGTCAAGGATTGTGTCAAAGCTTGCCTCAGGTCCACATATCAGTTCCTCTTTGAAAACTGCTACGAACTATACAGCAGAGAATTCCAGGTATACTAAATAAACTATAAAAACTCTCTGATGAAACTTGTGAAATGGAAATAGAACTCGTACTCAAGCACTGTCGTAAATTGCTGTAGAAATGTTTTTATAGTATAGGTATTATCACACTCTTTGGGGTACTGCTGTTCTACAACACAAGACTTCTAGCCCGAGGACTTGAGTTCAAATCCTGTTAATCACCTTCTAGCTATGTGATAACTGATAATGTAAAAGTGGCAAGTCCTAGGGTTTTAAACCCACCTTTAACCTTTAATCTTTAGGGTTCGCCTATCGAAGTAGAAAAAGTATTTATCAGGCAAAGAGAACTGACTCTACGTTGAATATCTCCCATACAACAAAATTTTCAATACAATTATACACATTCCTCTGACCCTGAAAGTATGATCTTGAGTGACAGTGTCTTAATTCCTCTGGTGGATGAGTATAACAACCAACGATCAAGAGTGCACCTATTTTTTCCATCAGCATGAAGATACAGTAATTCATTTCTTCACCATTAATTTTCTCATTCTATGGTGACTCTATGGTATCCATTTGTGTCCTTCCCAAAACAGAATAGATCCTTTTTAGCCCATGAAACACTTAGATAGTTATATGTTGAATGATAGGTCAAATTATTTAGAGGTAATCTTATTTTTGGTTATACTAAAGTTGTTTTGTCCAACCAACTTTTATGTAAAATAGAACTGTTGCACACTTTGTGACACCTTAATTTTTAATTGAACTTCAGTTAGTTATTCTTCCCATTCGTAGCCTATGTATTTATTTACATCACTGGACACTAGTGTTGTTTGCAATGCATCATTTATGTAACATTTCTGGTGTTTGTAACCACACATTTATTGGAGTCCTTTTGTGGTTGTAAATGTTGTTATCTCCTGCAGTTTGAGTATTTACAGTATCAGGTAATAGAGTTTTTACATTGTATTTTGATAAGTTGTAACAACCCCAAATTGCAACCAAAACTGAAGGGAATAAAACCATTATAAAAAAATTTAAACTCTTAAATGAAAACTTCCTATGATTGCTATCAAGATAATTTTCTACAGTCAGTACAGATTACATACTTATTTGTGGGAGCTACAACTTTATAACCTGACTATCCTTAAAAAATTGCCAAAAAAAGTGGCTTAAAAAAGTGGGGCTCATATCATGAAGTTGAATCCCAACTATGATTAGCCCCCAATGATGATGTACTTATATGAACCTAGTTATCAACAGGATTCATTGGATTGCATGGGTACCCATTAATTTATTTTCGTAAACACATTTTTAAGAAAATTTATTCAGATCAGATATAAATTAGATTGGTTTAAGCAAATTGCTTATTGAAGTTGTATCCAGTTAATCCTTATTATGTTACAGAAAAAGTCATGGTGTATGGATTTATAATGTTGCATTTTACTTCATACCTCACTAAATTGAACTTTAACGTGTATTTTTCTAAATTTAAAACTGAAAATAATTGTTTAGTGTTTTACAAAACATATTCAATGTATGATACACAAATACACAGTTTATTGCATTTACGTATCACAGCACTTAATGGCTTTCTAAGGAGTTACTGTAACTAGCTCACCTAATTCTAAAACCTTTTTTGACAGGAAGTTTCACTAATAATAATAATTTTCTATCCACTAAACAATATAAGGCCATGGTAAGTTACGAAGGTTTTTAGCTGATCAGAAGCTTATGTAAGTTTAGGCTTTATGCTTTAACAAGTTGTTGCCTTACCAAGCAGTTGATTGTAGTTTAAGGTATTTTTGTGTTTTATTTGAGGGTTTGCGTTGAAGGAGTGATTTTGTTTGATCACAAAAAACTCTACGTGACGCCCAGTTTTTTTTAATCCTTTTTGTTTGAAATTGTTGTATCTGCTCTAGTTGATATTAACAAACAATCCGTAGTCAAGTGTTTGGTTTAGGTTACTATGCTTTGCAGATGAATAGTAAAGTAAATTTTAAGCTGATATCCATTAGGAAATGTCAAATTTCTGACATTCTGACATATCCTACTGTAGAATCTATTGGTTTCCATCAAATGTTTTTTAGAAGTAGCATGAAAGGTATTTTGGTTGTCACAATGGTAAGATGAATTATTGTTTGATTTTATATTTGCTGAATGAGTAAAGATTTGGACAATAAATGTAACATTAGGAAAATAAATTTTAAGGTGGGTTACTGCACACACAACATTTTGGGAGAGAATTTTTTTATAAGTATTAGAGAGTTAAATTAGTGGCCTTTACACACTTGGTCCATAGGTGATGGGCACTAAATTAAAAGTGTTAACTAATCCTCTTAAAAACAATTTATTAGTAAAATTCCTAAAATGTCATTAAAATTGGTTATGCAGTTATCCAAATTCTGGTTTTATTTCAAATTAAGTTAATTAATACTGCATAAAATCTTATTTTTTAATATTGCTACATACAATTTGAAATACCCCCGCCGCAGCAAACCTGCCGACTAAGCGAATTTCCATTTGTCTGAATTGATTTTCAGTTAAATATATTTTAATAACATTAGGTTTAACGAGTACCTAGGTTTGCTGCTACAAGGAAACTAATAAAGTGTGTTTTTGAGTAAAATATTTATAGCTTAGTACAAAATAAATAAACTTGCCAAGTTTGATCAAAATATATCCATAAACAAGCAAACTACAATATTTGACAATATTCTCCATAAGAATAACATGGGAATTTTAAATTTACAATTTTTTTTTATTTTCTCCGTTACTAATAATTGAACAAAAATACTTTTATATACTAAATTATTTGTTTTTTTAAGCTCTTTAAAAAGGTCTAAAGAGAAATCGGGAAATTTTTTGTTTTGAGGGTAAAAAGTGAGAAAAACCAATTTTTACCCCATAAAACCTCCCGTAAAGCCCCGTTCCCATGGTCCGATCGTGCTGGTTCGCGAACTCATTCAAGTTTATCCTGCTTTACACCTTTAAACCAAGTTTCATCAAAATCGGACAAAAATTACTCAAGTTATCGCGTTCACGGACGTATATATATATATATATATATAAGTCTATATATATATATATAGACCAGTACCCAGTGCAGAAGTACCTACGGTAATAGCTACTTCCCTATAGGGAAATTCGCTAAAAGGCAGATTTGTTGTGTTTTTAATTATGCACAAGGAATATCCAGAGAAAATAATAATGTAGTTACTTTAACAAGTAGACGATACCCCTTCCAAGGCTTACCTAATCTTCAAATGTGCCGTGTTCTCATATTGCTTGATATGGCTAAGTTTATCATTGACAATTGACATTAAATACTGAATTAGACATTCCATTAATATGGAGCAACTATACTTGGTGTTTTATTTAAAGGCATAGTTGGAAGAACCACTTGTAGTGAGTGCAACTGTTGAAGTTTACATTATCTTACTGATTGTTGCCAACATTTTCCATCACAATTAGAAGAAAGTAAGTTTTTGTGATGTTTCGGTTTTTTTTTAACTGATCATCAAGTGAAATGTCTACAATAATCTGTCAGATAATTGACACTCATCACTATCGCCAAAAATGCTTTCAGTTTTTCATGCTATGTAATAGATAAATACCCCCGCCGCAGCAAACCTATAGACTAAGCGAATTTCCATTTGCCTTATTTGATTTACACTAAAATGTATATCCTTAAAAATATGCCATTTATTCCCTATTTAAATATAATTAGTTTAACGAGTAACTTACTTAGGTTTGCTGCAACAGGGAGGGTAAAAAAATGGGTGGGTTATTTTTTGGAAAATGTTAATAGTTTAGTAAGAAATAAAATGGATTTTCCAAATTTGATCATTAATGTTCATAAACAAGCGAACTACAACATTTTACTTATTCTTCATAAGAATAACATGGAAATTTTAAATTTACAATTTTTGGAATTTTCCCTGTAACCATTAGGTGCATAATCACGCTTTTTATGTTAGTCTTTTTACTACGGTATTCAAAGTCAATGCTGTAGCTTTATCATGAAAATGAAGGGTCTGTAGTTACGAGCTTACGTTCAATCTGGACATAAAATTGAAAAATGCATTGAGCAATGATTCTATATTTTCAATATGTAGCCTACAAGAATATTTATTATCAATAAAAAAAATAATAGTAAAAATTATTTCCTTGGACATAATTACAAGCATGTTGTTTCGTTAACAAAATTAAAAGGGAAGAACTAATTGACTAATGTTATCAGTAACAACTATGGGGTTTGTAAATTTAAATTAACATCCTGTTGTGCATTGCAGGTGGATCCCAACGAGCCCAAGCGAGACCCGGAGGACACGGGGCCGCGGTTAGACTCCCTCGACTTCTGGCACAAACTGATCGCTCTCATTGTGTCTGTGATAGAGGAGGACAGAAACAGCTACGCTCCTGTGCTGAATCAGTTTCCTCAAGAGCTTAATATCGGACAGGTGTGTAACAATAACCAGAGGATTATTATTTACCTCTTTGAGCTTCAAAGACATGGTACACAGGAGTAACTTAACCAAATTTCCACCTGACATATGCTTTAACCTGGGAGTCAAAAACTCTAATGTGTAATAACGTAAATTAATGCAGAAGTTCGTTTTAGCCCTTTAGTGAAGTCATGGCTTCAGCAGGCTCGTAGTAGTTGTAGTAATAGAACACAAAGGTTTGTCGGACGAAGCCGATGGGAAACAGCTAGTATCATTTACAATAGTAACACGGCTTACAACTATTTATGCCAAATCAGTTTAAAGACACACATGACATGTGCTGGGATATGGTGGTCAGCTTGATTGGAAGATGACATAGTAGAAGTGTAGGTAGATTCTTTGATTTGCACGTAAAATCAGCTGTTTGCTACATTACTTTTCTTTTTACTGTGTATGTATGTATTCAACAAAATATTTTTTTTTAAATTGTACTTTTGTATTCATAAGATGAGGAAAAACATAATAAAAATTGTAGTGGTAAGTAGTGTACGCAACTCATGTAAATAGCCTTAACAACACTATCTTTACGCAATCGTTGCGTAAACTACTATTTCAATGTTGCAATTTCTTGGTTCTAGTTATCAGCAGGCACTATGTGGGTACAGTTTGGAATGGACCAGAAGTATGCATTGGAAGAACACGAAGCCAACAGACAGAAGGTGGCTGTGCAGCCTGTCAAGTCTTCCGCTTACATGAATCTTCACTTTAAGGTAAAAACAGAAAAATACTCACTGTAAATCTTAAGTATTCAATTTTCTTATTATCAATGCAATCAAACATCATCAAAACTTTGAATCAGCGGGAACTTAACTATAGTAAAAGTTATATCAAGGATTTTGTTTTATTAAAGCTGTGTCTGGTCTAGTAGATAGAAGGCAACATTTTTATCCAAGAGAGTAAAAAGTTTAATTAAGTTTTTATCCATAAAAATGAAATAAAGAAAAATATAATCTTCCTGATTTTAAATATAAAATTATGCACATGTAAAAAGAGTCTCAATGAAAAACCTGAACAGATTTTTAATCATTTGGTTTAGAGTAATATTGATTGGTCTACATGTGGTTTGGTAGAGGTATACTTCTTGCATGTATATTTTATTACATAATGTTCCATTTACCTTCATCCCTATTTGCATACAATGCAGACCAATGCTATGTCCCACATAACAATTAATTGTCCACATACAGTCCCATGGCAACTGAACTTACCTACACTCCCTTAACTGTTAATGATTGGGACGCTTTGTCATTATTAATGTTTACTTTGTTCAGGTGAAATGGCTGTACACCAACTACGTGAAAGACTGCCCTCCATTCAAGGATACTATTCCTGAGTATCCTTCATGGTTTGAGCCGTTTGTGATGCAATGGTTAAACGAAAACGATGATGTGTCACTTGAATACCTAAACGGAGCGTTTAACAGAGATCTCAAAGATGGGGTAAGTAACCTAGTACACCCCTAGCTACACCTAGTAGTGAATCTAGTAGTAGTGTGTTAATTATGTTTTACATTTTTTTATCTTATTGTGTCTTAATTGTTTCATGGCCAAGCACTTGGAATTACATAACATAACATTACATTACATTACATTGGAGTTTAATCACTTTATTGATGTAAGAAATGTCAACACTGTAGTATTGTATTGATCCTCAAACCGTGGTACTTGTAACCCTGGTGGTGTATTAGGTTTACCGAGGTGGCACCTGAGATGCCTTCAAACCAGATATTTTTCAACCAAATCATGTACTAAAGAAAGAAAATATTTAAAAGTTTTTGCATAATGTGTTACTTTTTATGGAATGTAAGTACTGGTAGTTCTAAACTAGAAACATGAAGTAGCACCAATATCTTTATAAAATATGTTTAGTTTATATAGTATTTATAGTAGCTAGCTAAAATAAAATTTGTGAATTGAATTTATCTAAGTGCATATTGAGGGGAGTATTTAACTTGGATACCATTTATCTTTTCTTGCTCTTTTTAACGTCTAAACTCATAACACTTACTTGAAGACAAAAACTTTTGTTCATAGACTGTAAAATACATTCTCAAGGAGTGTGTAACAATAATGTTTTGAGAACTTATGTTTACCTTTGGCCAATGATGGTTGAGAAAGAGAACAGATGACAATGTACCAGCTGGTACAGTGCCAGATTGTTGCAAAGAAAGCTCATGGTGTCTTGCACTTTAAAGGAAGGACTCTTTTCATCCTTCGTGATGTTATAGCCTCTAGCACCCAACTAGAGCCAAAACTAGCTGTATGAACATATCTGTTGTTTCCAGTTCCAACGTAGCTCGGAGCATGCCTTGTTCTCAAACTCCGTAGTGGACGTCTTCACTCAACTCACACAGTGCTTCGATGTCATCAATAAGCTGGAATGTCCCGACCCAGAGATATGGAAACGTTACATGAAACGATTCGCCAAAACCATCGTAAAGGTTCTCATCGCTTATGCCAACATCGTGAAGAAAGAGTTTCCTAACCATCTGAAAGACGAAAGAATTGTAAGTGGATTGTTTAGTTACTTGACGGTATAACTATTACTTACCAGTATTTAGATTTCAAAATTCAAATATTTGTGATTTCATTGAATTTAAAATAAATAAATTAGAAGATGACATTTTAGTTTGCAATATGTAGTAGCATCCAGGTTGAAAATGCTAGAAACATTTATTATGCCCTATACTCTAAGGCCTAACTCATTATCTTACTAATATTATAAATGTGAAAGTTTGTGTGTTTGTTTGTTTGTGTGTTTGAAGTTCAATCACGCATTAATTACTGGATGGATTGGGCTCAAATTTGGCATGATGATAGCTCACATTCCCGATTAACATATAGGCATATAGGCATATTTTTATCTCAAAAATCCTTTCGGGCTCTGCCCCAGTGGCTCTAGAGTTTCCCATGTTAACCTTATGAGTACTCATATTTAAATGGAATTAAAGAATTTAGTCAGCTGTTTCAACTAAAAAGGTTGGTTCTATGATATGCAAAGGCATTAAAAGTTATAAGATATTACCAACAGGATGCAGCATTATAATTTTTTTTTTTCATTTATGAAAACAGCTAATTTGAACTAAGCAGCAACAAAAAACTGTGATACACAATGAGAACTGTCTGTTTACAGTTATGTTTATGTTTTTAATTTCACAAATAATTTGTGATATTTTCTGAATCTTTAACAATTTATATTTTTCTTTTGTTTGGGTGATGTGGTAGAACATTATGGCTATGGTAGATGTGTAATACTATAGTATACCGTAAATTTAAAGAAGCAAATTTTATCATACATTGTCCTCCCTCATTGCAAACGCTAAGCTGAGTATAACTGTACTAAGCATTTTATACTATTATATGCCACTCCCGTACGAAATAACAAAAGTGGAAAATGTAAACATAAACATTGCCTATACTTTCCATTATAAATTAATACAGAAACTTAATAACCGAAACAGCTGTTTCGTTTTGACGGGACAGCGGTGTTGCCACTTTTGTCTTGCCACAGCTTTGTAATAGAGGAGGCTTATGGTATCAGCCAATGCAAGCCTTGCGTTCATGGCAGAAACTACTTTCAGTTGACACTTCTCCATACGCATTGAGCCGTTTTCAACAATCCAGTTGTCAAAAATGTTGTTCTAGCTTATTTTACTAAAATATTTAATATAATACTTTACTGTGAAAAATATAATGGGGCCACTCTCCGTTTGACTTGTGCTGCAGTCTTGGCTACAGAGTTGTCTTCATCTCCATCAAGTACATTGTTTTGTTCATATATTGTCCCGCTATTGTCATGGTAAAAGTTTATTTACTTCTTCCTTCAAGTGAAATACATCCAGGTGATGTGAATTTACTCCTAATAGACTTGATCCACACACAAATCTGATCAACACACAAAAATCAACCATGATCCTCGCCCAAATTAACTACAATCCATACACCACACAAATCTACTATGATCCTCACAATACAACACACACACACTATTTAAAAATTATCCACCCTCATTAACTATACCTTTTCTCTTAAGTGCTTATTGTTCTTACAGGCATGTATCCTGATGAATAACATCCAGCAGTTGAGGGTTCAGCTTGAGAAGATGTTTGAGTCTATGGGAGGAGACAAACTAGAGGAGGACGCTGCAACCATCCTCAAGGAGCTGCAACAGAACCTCAACCTGTGTTTGGACGACCTGGCGACACAGTTTGCTCAGAGGTTGGTTTAGTAGACATATTTTTATATTCAATCATTTTATTAAAATGATGATGAAATGATGATGTCTTTATGTCATTATGCAATTAACATGTTCAGAAACAACATTATTGAGATATTAGAAATCTATAGACTTTTTTCAGATTGAACTGGCGACTTTGATTAGGTATTGTTTAAATTTATATATAGGTAATAACCGTTTTACATATTTTTGTGATAAAAATGAGAATAATCAGTTGCTGGTACCAAAAGTTCAAATTTTTACACAAAATTCAACAACCCCACTTGCCCAGTTACAATAATCTTTTGTAAAGTAATGTTGGTTTTTGTAATATTCCTCTTTAGAAATATCTACTAGTTGTCCTTCAGGCATGACATGGACATTTGATTTAAAATGTTAACTAGTAAGTAGTTTTGACTATTAAATACTGAAGTAATGTCTATATACAGTCCCATCCATACGGACCAGCTGTTGCCAATTTTTTACTAAAAAAGAACATAGTTTTGGGAGCCAGTCTCAGAATGCACTAGTGTCTAAAATTTTATTTTCTACCATTCTTTTTGTTTCTAACAAATTTGATGGGTCATAACAGTTGATATAGCTTACAATTAGTCATTCCATCAGTTTGACTTGGTAAAAACACTTGTGTATTAAACAGAAATTTGTAATTTAGGTCAGCACAATCTATATGTCATCACATAAACTACGAAAATTTTGATTTTTAAGCTGGCGTCAACTTTAACGTTGGGATAGAATGTCTAGTTGTATCAATAGTCAAAGCTAGTAGCATCTTATTTCCCGTAACAATATGTTAGACTATAGTTCAAACATTATCAGCATGATCAAATTTCATCAACAATTAACAAACATGGTTAAAAATTCATGCATGTGAACATTTTTATGGACAAAATACTTTCTGGAATTGATGGAGTTCAGTGTTTTTTTGACGATATTATTATTCAAGGTTCGACTGAGTCTGAGGCCCTAACAAGGCTAGAAAGTGTTTTGAAAGTCATCAGGAGACACAACCTCAAACTAAACAAAGACAAATGCAAGTTTTTTCAAACACAAATTGATTACCTTGGACATACTATAGATCAAAATGGTCTACACAAGAATAAGGACAAAGTGGAAGCAATCTTAAAATCACCAAAACCGTCAAATGTGTCAGAGCTACGAACATTCCTGGGCTTGACCAATTACTACCAGAAATTTATCCCCAACTTGAACACAATCTTGAATCCACTACACAATCTATTAAAGGCGCACACTAAGTTCGTTTGGACCAGAGAATGTGATAAATGCGTTGAAAAAGTTAAGGCTGAGATAGCTAGTGACCGGGTCCTTGCTCATTTTGATCCAAATGAAACCTTAGTGCTAACAACAGACGCTTCTCCAGTCGGATTAGGAATTGTTCTTTCTCACCGCTACAAAGATGGTACTGAACGGCCAATTTCATTCGCTTCTCGATCTCTCACTGCAAGTGAAAAAAAGTACAGTCAGATAGACAAAGAGGCACTGGCGATTTACTGGGGACTGAAGAAGTTCTATCAATATTGTTATGGAAGAAAGTTTATCCTTGTAACAGATCATAAGCCACTTGTTTAAATTTTTGACCCATACAGAACCTTACCTACTATGACTGCCACACGTATTTTCAATTACGCTCACTTCCTCTCTGGCTTCGATTATACTATTGAATATAGGAACACCAAATTACATGGTAATGCCGACTACATGTCTCGCTTTCCTAATGAACATCCACCGACAAATCAAATTGATCAACATGAAGCCTTTTTCATTAACCAAATTGAATCAATGCCTGTAAAACATGAAAATATTGCAAATGAAACATCAAACGACAATGACCTAAAACCTCTTTTGAAAGCACTTCAAGATGGTACTGATTTAGAACATATTGGCTTGAAGAATAATGAGTATTCACTTCATGGTGGCTGCATTTTTCGTGGTTCCAGAGTAGTAATTCCTGAAAACTGCAAGGAAAAGTACTCAATGAACTTCATTTAGGACACTTAGGAGTTGTGAAAATGAAAAATCTTGCAAGAAGTTTTTGTTACTGGAAACACATTGACCATAACATAGAAGATCTAGCAAAGTCTTGTCGTCCAAGCTGTTTGAAGCAGAATCTTCCTGAAAAAGTAGATGTCCATCCTTGGCTCGTTCCATCAGGACCTTGGCAACGAATTCACATCGACTTTGCAGGTCCAATTTATGGGCAATACCTTTTTATTATCGTTGACGCCTATTCAAAGTGGGTTGAAGTCATACCAACCAAAACTACAACATCTAATTGGTGCATTCAACAGCTCAGGAAACTTTTCTCTACCTTTGTTCACGTTAGTCTCTGACAATGGTCCTAACTTCACATCATCTATCTTCAACCAATTCCTACAAGCTTGTGGCGTCACACACAAATTCTCTGCCCCCTATCACCCTGCAACCAACAAACAAGCAGAGAGATTTGTTCAGACTGTAAAGAAACAGTTAATAGCAATGGAGAATGATGGAGGAGATTTGCACTTCAAAATAAATCACATCCTAATGTCACTAAGGAATGCCACAAATGCTACAGGGTCCTCGGCATATGAACTTATGTTTGGGAGATGAATAAGGACAAGGCTGGATCTTATGAAGAAACCCCAAGATCACACAGAAATGCCCGACGGATGTACAAAAATGAAAAGAGAGTTTCAGGTGGGGGACAGGGTTCAGGTGCGCAATTTCGGAAAAGACGGAAAGTGGAAATTTAGAAACATAAGAAGGAGAGAAGGATTGGTGCATTATCAAATCGAGATGGACGATGGGCAGGTTTGGAGAAGGCACATTAACCACATTCAGCCGTGTAAATTTGAGGGGGAGGATTAATAAGGATTTGTCAACAACATATGATTTCTTAACACACATGGTTTATGTTATTGTTTTTTAATGTTTGTGTTTATATATTTTGCATTCAGTCAAAATGTTTGAATAAAATAGGTTGTACATTCTCTTGTATCATGTTTATTATATAATTTAAGGACTTGATAATAGTAATTCACAAGCTTGTATAATGACCCTGGTTTTTATTATTGTTTCCTGTCATGACTACTATGACTTGTGTTTGTTGCAGTCTTGAGCCTCGAATCACGCAGAGTGTCAAGGAGTTGGGAGATCTGTTGCTGGCCATCAAGGGCGGAGGTCAGGTGACGTTGAATGCACCTGCGCAGCGCAACGCCGTCGCACAAGAGGCTGACGAAGTCTTGCGCCCACTTATGGATCTCCTGGACGGTAACTCTCCTACTGACTACTACAATATAGGAGCAAAACTGAATTAACAAATATTTTTGAAGTTTACTACTTGCAATAAAAGAGTATTTTTTCAAAAGTCTTATTAGGTTTTTTTATATTAATAGTGGAGTTATGAGGAACTCAGTTGATAAACCAGGAATATACTATAAAAGGTTTAATTGGAAAGGGCTTATTGCCTGAGAATTAAGGAGACAAATGACAGGATAAGCAGGCTTAACTTAAAGTTACAATTGTCCTTTGTGTTTTCTTTTGTGTTACTTTAGTTAAGTGGGATGCCTACAATTTTTAAGGTAAGCCTACTTATATTCTGTCCTTTGTCTCTATAATTGTTATTAAACTAAAGTAATATAGTCACCTACGGAAACCATCTAAGCAACAAGTTTGCCAACATTTTGAAGAAAAGACAGAGTAGCACATAGAACCACAGATAAAATAGGTAGTTTAATTACTATCCAATGGACTCTCCAATACGGATAAGTTCAATTCAGCTGGAATTTATAAGATAGCCTGCACAGATTGACCCAAATTTTACATCGGCCAAACTAGACGCTCATTTAAAACCCGATATAAAGAACATTTACCAAAAAACACCGCCATTCAAAAGTCTAATTACGCAGAACATTCTTGGGTACTTTTGTATGTAACAGAACAAATCAATCTTGACATGTAACGTATGACTGATCAAATGTTAATCATGTTGTTATATGATTAAACAGGCTCATTATCGTTATACGCTCAATCCTGTGAGAAAACGGTGCTCAAGAGATTGCTCAAGGAGTTGTGGAAGATTGTGATGAGGATTCTAGAGAAAGCTGTCGTACTGCCTCCCATGACCGACAAGAGCGTAAGTTGTATCAATTTTAAGATTTTCCATTATGCCAAAACCATTTTTTTTTCAAATAGATTGTGATATCTTCAAAACTGAAGTGATCCTGTAAATGATTACTGTATTGAAAGAATTTAAACATAAACACCACCATCAAATTAAATCCTACAAATGTCACTCTAAAAACTATAGTTACAATTAATCCCCCCATTTTGCCCATACCATAAAAACATGTTTAACAAAAGCTATCTCAAGACTTTGTTATTCAATTTTACCAACTTAACACGTTGCCTACCAGCCGTCACACTAAGCTGTATGAGGGGCATTGTGAGACTGGGTAGTGAAGGGGTTAACACGTTGCCTACCAGCCGTCACACTAAGCTGTATGAGGGGCATTGTGAGACTGGGTAGTGAAGGGGTTAACACGTTGCCTACCAGCCGTCACACTAAGCTGTATGAGGGGCATTGTGAGACTGGGTAGTGAAGGGGTTAACACGTTGCCTACCAGCCGTCACACTAAGCTGTATGAGGGGCATTGTGAGACTGGGTAGTGAAGGGGTTAACACGTTGCCTACCAGCCGTCACACTAAGCTGTATGAGGGGCATTGTGAGACTTGGTAGTGAAGGGGTTAATAATAAAAGTTTATCTGATTATGTGAACAGTTTTTGAATTTCACAACAAGTCAAGACAATTCAAGTAATCACTAATTTTGTTTACTTTTGTATTGTGTTGATACAGTTTTTAAATACGTTATTTTTCCTGATAGATGATTCTGAAGAATCTAACAGACAACGCAAAGAATCTCGCTGCCAACGCCAAAATGGAGGACATGTCGAGACTGATCAAGAATATGGCCGGCAAACAGGACGTCAAGAATGCGCTCAGTGGAGTCATGGTATCAAGATTTATATCAAATTCTATCTCTAGGTCTATATAAGTTCACTTGCTCTGATTGAAAATGTAACAAGAGTATTGATTAGAGTATTGGTTATACTACAAAAAGACAAGCTAAGGGTTTACAAATCTATTATTGGTATATTAAAATAATTTTGTAGTTGGCTAATTAACAAGAAACAAATTTAAAACAACAAACACCATATGCAAAAATAAGACAGAAAGCTGTATTAAATTTGTTTTCAGTTAATTAAAAAAAGTTATTAATCCATGAGGAATAATTATGTTTGATCTACGTTATAAGCTACACTAATCCTATTTTGATCAAAGTGTTATCATGTTTGTTACACAAAAACTTTGCAAGGAGTTTTTGTCAATATGCCAAAACATACAAGGTCATTACATGGTTATCGTTCAATGATAATCATACTTTGAAATTAATTAAAATAAAATACCACCCATCCAATTTTTGAAAAGTTCACTCTCTATCTCTATCTTTAACTTCATGAAACCATAAGTACTTTCCAAAAGATAATGGCTTCAATAATATTTCACCTTTCAAGATCTACAACTACTTTTCAAATGTTTAGGAGGTAGAGAAGAACCTATCGCCAAAGCAGTGTGCTGTTTTGGACGTCGCCTTGGATACCATCAAGCAATACTTCCATGCCGGTGGTAATGGACTGAAGAAGACCTTTTTGGAGAAGAGTCCGGAACTGCAGTCTCTGCGGTACGCCCTCTCGCTTTACACACAGACAACGGACACCCTCATCAAAACATTTGTTACCTCGCAGACAAATGAAGGTAAACTTTCCTTTCAAGGTGATGGTTCTTCTTGGGATTGTTTGTTGGTTGTTTGTGTTTCTCTTTTGTTTAGATCTGTGTCACTCTTCATCTTGGTAAACAGGTGACACATGACTTTTATCCTCAATCTTGACTTTTGTATCTATATAATTTAAAAACTTAAATGCCTAGGCCTACTGCCTCATTTTTCATTTCTTGATTCTTCACTCTAGATATTAAAGTTCTAAACTATTTGAACAAATGAAAACAAAAGAGCAAATCACTTATATTTATTTAAAGTAATTGAAGTCATAATGTTCAGTACAAGTTTAATTTATTTTTATTTTATCAGTTTAACAATAAATGTATAAATACAATTTATCAACAACAACACAGGTTTTAAATTCTTAATTTGGAACTAAGGATCTCAGATGCTCTTTTACGAAGGTTTATTGTATTTGTGTGTATTATAGTGTATTGCAAAACAAGTCTTTGGTGTGTAAAGTTGTTAAGTGTCATATGTTGGTGCATGATATGTTATTTCGAGACTATGTTAATAAAATAATTCAAGGTAGGCCTACCACAAAAATGTCCATTGTGTATCATAATTTGGAAAAACTATTTCTGCAATTCTAGTTTATCAATCTGATCATAATTTTTAGTGTTGAGCTTATTTAAAAAATACAAAATCCTGCAGACATTATACAATGCCATCAAATGTTGACTTAAAAAACTTAAACATGAAAACCAAAAGTTTTTTTTATATAATAAACACTATTACTAAACTTCAACATTTCTCAGTTGAACAAACTTCTTGTCCCTTTGAAATACTTAATGATTCAAAACATAAATTAATGCCTCGTAAATGTATACACACACATCCATGTATGTCTGTAATTCTGTATGGCTGTCTCTCTTTTCTAACTTTTCTGTATCTTCTTTTCCGTTTCTGTGGCTTTCTCTGTTGCTTACCGTACGTCTAAAGTTCCGCTAAACAACAAAAAGACGCTGTTTGCGGCCCAGCGGTCGCTCTCGAGCGAGAGAGATGAGAACGACGCGGGAATGGACAGCTTGGAGGAGCCGCTTAGAGCCAAGAAACGGCGAGAATCGACTCTGCAGCAAGGTAGCTTACGAAGCCAATCCCGTCTTGCTGCTCGCTATCACAAGTCACTCAGCACTTACAACTCTCACTCACATTCTCTCATTGTCACTCACACTCTCATTGTTAGGGTTGAATGGTTTAAGAGCTGTGGTATTTTAACCTAAATCTGCATTCAAATCACCATTTTGTTTAAAAATATTATATTAGTAAGCTTAAGTATTGAATTGCCTTTAGTGCTGGAGATTAACTTTTTGAGTAGTACCTTTAGCGTTAGTTTTAAATACCTAGTAAACAATTTCCCATGAATAATCTTTGTTTTTAACCAGTAGCAAATCACCTATAACTGAGCCTTAGTTTCTCCTGAGATCCATTGGCATAAACAAAGGTATTGACTATTGAGTTATAAACCCATTGTTGGAAATTATAAGGCCATCAGGTCAGCGGAGACGTGGTGTTTTATTTAACATTTCAGCAGTTTGTTCAACTTTATACCACCCAAAATCATATGAATTCACGCACAATCCAACACTTTGACACTTTTATGTCACGAAGTTGTTGCTGTTCAAGTATGTATTTTAAAGATACGTCAAAATTATCTCAAATCTTGAAAACACCAGAACTTTTGTTTTGAAATTTAAAATTATATTGATCAGATTTTTGTGTTAATATGTGAGGTTCAGGATTTAAATTTATTTCAGTGTTAGTTTTGTTTTTTGTTTTTTTTTATTTTTAGGCTTATAATGTATTAGCTATGTTATTGTAATTATGTCAGGGTCAGGAGTCAATTTCTTTCAGTTTGTATACACTTTATTATTTCCCTACAGTCACCCGACAAAGTTGGCTTCCTTCTACTGTTTATAGTACAGAAAGCTGCTAATTGCTGCATATTTATACTTTGTCGTACGGTTCATACTTTGGCGCACATCAGGATTCCAACGAAACAACACAAAACAGCGTGGTTCTATTATGCACGTAATCCGTGTACGCTTGGAAATAGGTGGGCAATACTTAAAGATAATTATACTATGAGCAGCTGATTGACTATTATAACTACGATTTAACCTGTCATTTTGTGTTTATAGTTTCGGTATTTCTGAACTTTCTGTACTTTTCTTTTAAACGTTTTTAAAACATTCCTACGATCTTAATAAACAAGAAAATACCTTTAAAGCATTTTTTAGGCGCGGAAACCACTTCAAATTACAAAAACATACGGAACTATTTTCTTAAGTCGCGGAGCACATTGCTTGCCGAGGAAAAAATAGCGGAGTGATACGGACCGGTGACTACTTTCTCTAGGGCACCTATTTGTGTTGCCAGCTGAACCTAAAAATGTGTTGTATAGTGTTTGAAAGACTAATTATTTGTACGCTTTATATAGTGACTGTAGGAAAAATATAATGTGTAACACGAGTACAAAAGGCCTTTGCTGCACTCGAGATCATTCATAAACATTGCTCTAGTGTGCAGCAAAGTGCCACTTTGCCCACTAGTTACACAAATAACTATACCTGTATTTTTGTTACCTTCATCAGGCAAGTAAGTTAGTGTTGTGTTTAAGTTTCAGAGCTGGAGATTTGGGATTTGTTTTTTAATTTTTTTGTTTTTGAGACTTGAAATGTTGGTTTTGATCATATCTAATGTAATTGAAATAATAATTAAAATGATCAAACTTAGGTATTGTAACTTATTGTATATAATAATACGGTAAAAAAACACATCAGTAGCTATGCAGAAAGTGACAAACTGTTGTACTAGTGTAGCAGTGGACAGGGCTAGCGTCGCCATCTTGGCGTAAAAAAGTCTCTACATGAAGTACAAAACCAGTTTTTACCACCAGCACAACTGCGTGGCTATTGTACTTTTACGACAGAGGTTTAAAGTTACTGTCCGCGAGAGTAAAGAAGTCCCTTGAGCCAGAGAGGTATGCAGCTATGTTTGGAGGGTATCGCACACTATTTGCAGGCGCTAAGCATCTGGGCGCCTCATGTCTGTCTGTAAACAACTGTTGTAAACATAATTACTCATATCTTTGTTTTGGTAAGTGGATTATCATCATGTGGTCACGTCATTTGATTCATTGCAGTCTCGTGTGTTCGCGTAGTGAGTTCGTTTTGTTTTGGATGGTCCTTGTAGCTATGGATTTAAGAAAACGTCGTGCTACTATACATAGTGGAGAGAGGGATTTAATTAGACGAGTGATGGAGTGTTGTGACAACGAATGTAAAGACAAAAATTTATTAGTGCCGATAGAAAAGGCAACAGAACGAGCCGCAAACTATTGTAAAGTTCCAGAAAAAACTATTAAACGAATTAGAAAAGCCGGCAAACAAACTCCGGATGAAAAACTCTGTACACTCGGGAAAAAACGCAAGAAGACTGACCACCATAAAGTACAAATAGATAGCATTGATAGGCGTGTAACTGTAGATGTAATACGCAATTTTTACAAGAACAAAAAAATTGTCCCTACATGTAAAAACCTATTACCTGTTTTGAGAGAAAGAATTAATTTTAAATGGAGCGAATGGGCACTTCGGCGTCTCTTAAAAGATATGGGGTTCAAGTGGAAGAAATTTGGTCGTAAAAGAAAATGTTTGATTGAAAGGCCTAACATCGTTAATTGGAGGTTTAAGTATTTGCAAGGGATAAGAGAGCTAAGGGGACAAAAAAGGAAAATTTCTATCTGGACGAAACTTGGATGGACAGTAATTTAACGTTCCAGAAATGTTGGCAAAGTATACGTCAATGGCGTGTTACCTGATATGAGCGCGTCAAACCGCGTGATTGACATAGACATTGGGTCAAACTAAGGGTTTTTGCTCGTTTTCTTTATTTTTTGCTTAGGTTTATGGTAATAGGATTATGGTAATAATTTTAATAATACGTTGTTTATTGCGATGTATGCTATTGAAACTGCTGTACTCAAATACTTATATTATGTACCGGTAATATGCATTCACCATAAGAATTTATTGAATTTATTGTTGTGATTTTATTGTATTGCATTTTATTGGTATTGTTACATTTAACTAAACAAAAATCATAAAGTAGGAAGGTTATTAATTTGCCTTAGTAACACTAGAAAATTGGTTTCCTTCCATTGTATGACTACCGTATGCAAAAAAATATTATGACATAGATTTATAAAAATCATACAGATATTAAATACAAAAATTAAGCCTTAAAACTACCAGAGCAGCGTCAAGACGGCTCTACAGTAATTGTCGCGCGAAACGTTCAAGCGTAACACCTTTAAACTACGCATACGCCGGAGCTCAGGGGACTTCTTTACTCTCGCGGACAGTAGTGTCACTCATGAAAATTCTACATGATATGAAGTGCTTAGTGTGTGGGCCAAAAATTACAAACCGATTGAAATGTTGTTCATTGCTGGTTTTGTGATTTGTTCTCAGAGACCCCCCCCCCTTAAATTTAATTCATACATTAATTAGTATTTGGTATGGGCATCCATTATTTTAGTTCTTTATTTTCAAACCCCTTAAAAATATTTCTTGTGCTTATATTAGTATATTTAGGGGTTTTATTTGATTACTTTCTGTTTAAATATTTTGTTTCATCTTTCTATCATCTATAAGTCTTCATATTTCTATAACTTAATAACAGTGACAGTGGCATACTTAGCAATCAAATTCTATCATTATTGCAACACATTGATGGACACTCACAATCTTAGCACAACTCTTGTTTTGTGTGTGGACAAATTGTTTTCTGAATCTCAGCAATGTTATATAATCACTGTGTGGATTGTTTGACACATTAACACTGTTTCTACTGGATCTCACTTGGGATATCTAGTGGTAGAGCGTGGGACTTTGGTCCGTGATGTTCCAGGTTCAAATCCAACCAAATCGTCAATAGATTTTAAATGAGTGATGCCCCAACCCCAAGGTCTAGCCTGAAGTAATGTGAAAATGAAATTCCAGGCTCGTGCCTAGCGTCCTTGGAAAAAACTGTATCCCACTACTTAAAGTGTCAAAAGTTATCATCATATTTTAATTTTTGCCAACGTTTTTGCTAATTACTATTTCCTTATTGCAACATATATATTTTCTCCTTTAGACCCTTCATACATCTACGATCACTTTGTTATAATTAACAGGTGTCTCCTTTAAAACGTAAGTACTTTTTTAAGAATGAGCATGATTGCTGTTTGTGCTTGTATGTGATGTTATGTAAATTATGTAAATAACTTTTAAATTTATCTGTTATCACATATAAACCTTGTCTGTTTTTAAACATGTTCTATCCTTCAGACAGAAACATTTTACTAAACACGGTGTTAATACTGTTACAATTATTTGTTTAGTTTTGACATTTTGTCCATAAATTGATTTTCTTTACCATTTTTAAATTTTAAATCCTAAATTATTGAAAATGAAACCATGTTTAGATTAGTCAGACTGGCAGTATCTACACATATTATGTGGCGAAACTCACCCCAAGGATTACTTGTACTTTTCGTTGGGTTTCGTGATAAAATAAATCTACAAAGAAAAGTATTACATTTTTTTTATAAATAGGTATTGTATGTGTAATGTCAATTTATCTCAATAACCGTTAGAGATAGGGCAAATATGTAAATGAGTAAAAGGTGTATTTTTGTGTGTTCTTTAACTTTGCCATTTTCCAAGATGGCGGCCGTAGCACAACATACACGAATGTTGATTTTTGATATGTTGTTGTTACTGGGTACTAGTACTACACATGTGCAAATTTTCACCACTTAGGTAATTATTTCTAGGTAGAGGGGTTTTTTCTCTAAAATGACTGGACTAAAGTAGGAGTAGTACAGGACTAGCCTACCAAAAAACGCATATATTATCTAAAAAAGTAAATCAAAGCACAAAAGAAAATTTAGATAACCATCTGCAATCATCACATATTCTACCTTTCATTTTCATATAATGAGGTTCTTTCAAAGTCTCGAAATTCACGACCATGACATTTTCCAACATTTTCCCTAGGGTACATTTTCCAACTTTCACGCTGTTTTTAGACTAATTATTCATGCCAAAAATATAAAGCCATATTTTTATGTCATCAATAGTTATTAAACTTACAAAAAAGGAGCATATTATAATTTTATTGTCATTGCAAACTGACTACCATGACAAAATAAGTCTGTCCCTCGATTAGGCGTCACGACCATTTGGGAAAAAATTTCAACTTTGGAGCACGACAGTGGCAAGCCTGGCGTCGATTGCGTCAGTTCGTTTTAGAGACTAGTTCAAGGTGTACGTCAAGTTTGTTGTGCCGGTTGTTTTGTGTTGAAAGAAGTAGTTACAAGATTAATAAAGGCAAGTTTGTGTTTTTTTGTAATTTTGGTGTGTCCATGACCGTACGTAGTCATTTGATGAAGTAGACGTGGTTTTAATTTTTGTTGATATGATATTTCAATTGCTACATTAACCTAGAAGTCCACTTTGTATCCTCGAACATGAGGTGCAAGACTACCGCCAGAACAGAGCCAAATAATACGTAATGTCACGACAAAAGATTCACGACCATCGCGGGTTTTTTCACGACCAATCCAGCCTTATGGATTATACTGTGTTTGGTCGTGACAATAACTTAAATATCATTGCAAATTAAACAGTTTAGTTCAATTGAAACACATATTTTTATTATAACTAACAGTATAACTGAAGGATTGTTTGGAAAGATTTGGATTATTCCAGACAATTCACGACCGTACCGCTTGTCCCTGACCATCACGTTGATGATTTCTATCATAAAAATTTAAAAATTAAAATATCATCATATTTCAATGTTTTATACACAAAAGAAGCACACCTCTATAAAAACATAATGATTTTTCGGGTCTCAGGTAAGTTTTTTCGGAGTTATACAAACTTAAAAGATTTTATTGGCTTTTTTTTAATTTTTATTTTTTATATTTTTTTCTAGAAAGACCAAATATACCAAAAGCTTAGTGAGCTGTTTATTGTATAATGGCCATAAAAGTAAATTAATTTATAGCAAAACATAGTTATAAAAATAATATTAACTATTTTTAATATTCAGTTTTATGTCCGTGAAGGTCAAGACAAAATTTTGTGTTTTTCCATCAAAGATGCTCTATTTATAAAAAATCACCAAAGATATTGCGTTACCATGGACATTTTATGAAACTTCAAATGTCAATGAAATAATAAAAATAAAAAAAGTTTCAAAAAACGGAACAAACAATTTTAAAAGTGCTTTTCCTGAAAATTTTCACTCACATATTTTTTTACACTTACACTTGGATTAGTCCAGGACTCGTCAAAAATGCATTCACAGAAACAAAATAGAAAATCATATAAGAAAAAAAGGAAATGCAGATACGTAATCATCAAAATTGTACAAGTCTACTAGCTACTTAGCCAGTAAATATAAACACACACACACGCACCACCCAAGACTATTATTTACCATGGTCAAGACAAGATTGATAATGATTTAGCAAGTTTATCTAAGTTTCAACCTGGATATGTTTCTGATGCAAGTTTGTATGTTGTTTGTTGTACAGCTGATCTGGCAGGTACGGAGGAGAGTGTAGGTGAAGTGTCAATACAAGTAGACCTCTTCACCCACCCTGGCACTGGCGAACACAAGGTCACCGTGAAGGGTGAGTTGTCACTTGGAATTCTTGTTTTCACTCTTTGAACCCCGAGGATTATTAAGTGAGTTGTTTCAGACAGGCTAACTAAACTACCCATGAGCTGTACACCAGACTGAATCCGAATGTTCCACCTATGGTATGGTCTTAGACAGATCTGGTTGGAACTTAGACAGTGAACCCAGTTAGCAGTAGGCCTATACTGTTTCCTACAGACTCAACTATACTTGCTTAATGGAGTGTCAGCCATTGAAACCCTTCATTAAGGCACTTTCCAAGCAAATATTTTGGCTGCACACTTTTTACTGTACTCGTGTATAAGGCAGTTTAAGGCTTTAATTAGTAGCACAATGACAAACAAAAAAACTTGATTCAGTATTGTTGAAAAAGTATACATGGTTTTTTTGCACACAACTTTGAACATGAACATTGAAACCTTTGATTTTTTAAAGACTCTCTTGATCAATAATATAGTTTCAAACTCTGCCTTTATGTTGCAGTTGTGGCTGCCAATGACCTGAAGTGGCCGCTGGCAACAGGAATGTTCCGGCCTTTTGTTGAGGTCAACCTGATTGGCCCCCATCTCGCTGACAAGAAGCGCAAGCAAGCCACCAAGTCAAAGAACAACAACTGGTCACCAAAGTTCAACGAGACATTCCACTTGTAAGTTTTGCTGTTTGCAACAATTTACTAGGTTTTACAACTCTGATAGAGCCATTCAGTAGACTCATTCTTTATTGGGTCAATTTCGTTTGGACAGTAGTCACTCACATAATCGGGTATCTTACTCCTTTGTCCTTAGCTACATAAACAAATAAGTCACAATCATTTGTCTAGTGCTGTTTGTATGTCTTTCCAGTGGCATAACTAGTCTGTCTGTGCCCCAATGCAAGTATACCCGTGCGCCCCTATAGACTCATTCTCCCCCCCCCCCCATAACGTACTAACAACAAAATTTCTCTGTATTTCCACACTTCCTGGATACTATTTCACTACACACGACATTTTACAAGCTCTATCCAATTAGAAAAAGATTATTCAAAGAAATATAATTTATTATGTACCGGTACAGTAATTTTTAATGTTAATTAAAAACTGAAGTACAGATCACATTACATACTTACAATTAATTAATGTACTTTTTAGGACGATAAAATAAAAATATAGACTACTTTAACGCTATACTTAACATTTTATATTTACATATTCAGTGCCTTATACAGTATACATGATATTGCAAGCTACAATATAATGCTCATGATCCGTTTATCAGAACTTTATTAATTTTACTAGATGATGCATTCTTTCAGTCAAAGAGCTGCCTACACTGTACGTTGATTCCTATTACCTGACAAAGATATTGTGTCGTGTTTCAACCTCTTTCTTTCCTGTTTATATTTATAACTATGTACATATTATTTTAGAAGTTTCCCATTGTATGCTTAATGTGTGATTGCCTCTCTAGCATCATCGGAAATGAGGAGCAGCTGGAGTATTTTGAGCTTCACATCTGTGTCAAAGACTACTGCTTTGCTCGGGATGACCGTCTAGTCGGAGTCGCTGTACTTCAGCTCAAGGATATTGTTGATCAGGTTTGTCATGTCAAATAGATAGATTTGTTGCTAAAGAGTGTTTTCCTGGCTTTTACTAATTAGCGTCCTGGATGAGTTTGACAGAGTTTCCGAGCAATTGGCAGGGTTGAGTGTATAGTAAAATATCAAAAGAACATGGAGTAAAGTCCTCATTCCTAAAAACAATCTACTAGTAAAAAAAAATAGTATTTAGTATTTATGGCCAGTATTGATATACCACGATTACTACGCAGACGTTTCGCCGAACTGGACGGCCCTTGTATTTTGAAACTAGATTTTGATCATAAAAAATATATTTTTTAGTTTTACTTAGCACAGTTTAATAGTTCAGTGGTATTCTGATAGCCAGATATTGTTGTTTCGAGGACAGACACCTTTAACTGTTTCATCTTATACTGTAATGGTACCCTTCTATCTTCAGATCACTTCACAGATGGATTGTCTATGTGTCAATACAACAAATTCTGTATTTGCAGGGGTCATGCGCTTGCTGGTTATCTCTTGGAAAGCGCATCCAGATGGACGAGACAGGCTGGACCATCCTACGTATTCTGTCACAGCGAAGCAACGACGAGGTCGCCAAGGAGTTTGTCAAACTTAAGTCCGATATTCGACAAGAAAATCCCTTGGCACAATGAGAGGAATTCGCCTCTTCTCGCCTTGCCTTACTTTCGTCTTCTCATCTGAACATCCTCGTATTGAGCTGCTGTTGCATCCACTGGATATGGTTGGTTTTCCTGTTTTGTTTGAGTTGCAACAGGGATTGCCAAGCGTGTACTAATCTTCAAAGACATTTTTTACTAGCAATCAACAGACATACATAAGAAATCGTCCAATTTTTTACAGTGACATTTTTACTCTATTCAATACCCAAAGTACTTTCCCTATTGTGTATGCTCCTTGAAAGATACAACAGCAGTTCAATATGGCAAAGGTGTACCGGATGAAATACTTTTGTTGAAAGTTAGTTTAAAGACACAAATTTGATTTAATATCTCTGAACACGAGAAGGACAATACTGTAACTGATCAAGTCCGGATGTGTAAAAAACGCGCACATTGCAGCCCGACTTGGGGACGTCTTCGACACGACCTTTGTACAATACTTTTGTAAACCGATTTTGATGTACATAACAATGTAAAATGATGTAACTGTAATTATGGTTTTGTCTATGCTTGAAGACTTCCCCAAGTTTCCCTAAAGATAGTGTTAAATTTAGAAGTAGTTTTTAGGGCCAGCTAATTTTTTCTGAGGTCCTTCATAATGTACATTTTGTGATTAAATCACCCCTTATCTTGTACATATTCACATTTGTTGACTCGGGTCATAATGTATAAATGCCTTTATTTAGAGTTATGATTATTTTCAACCTTCAGTTTAGAAAACCATGAATTTGTTAAGGACTTGTCTGGTAAGCTTTGCCCTGTGATTTCTCTTGTAAGCCAAACTAATCGGACTTCTTAATTGTGTCAACCAATCACAGATTGATTAGCTTTATGACAAGATAATGCCACAAGCTGGTGTTTCTGAAGCTACCACTGTAGGAGAGTTTTCTCTTTCAGCACTTCCTTCTCTGAAATCCATACAATTAATAGTCAATTACTGAGCAAGTGGTTGTCAACAATATAGTAGTGTTATTTTATGGTTATCAATTAAACCATGCAATACTTAGTTTATTTTTTTTTTATATGAGATTATTGAAGTTACAACTTGAAATAGTTATATCACATAAATAAATGCTTTTGAACAGAACATAATGAAGGCCACTTTGAAGACTTAAGGTTCACATTAAGTCTTACCTAAGTGCACAAGTATTTCATTTACATTTTTTTATGTATGGTAACAAAACAACAAATAAAGGTTATGTGTACTGTTCTTAAATGAAGTAGCAAGGGATGTGTTTATATTAACATTTTTTGACACACCTTTCCTTTATGTGATACTTATTGAAGGTAAATATCAAGTGTAATAACAAGAAAAAATAAAACTAAAACTTAAAAATAAATTGAAACGCCTTAATGGAAAAATAAAAAATAAACAAATCTAGGGCAAAGCTATCAGTTTTTGTTATCTAGTCTTAGTGTAAAATTTCATACCCCTCAGCTTGACAATATATCACTAAAGTTGAAATTTAGGTTAAGTTCTTTACCATGACCTAATCTTTGATACAATTGTGAAGGGCACAAACATCAGAGCCTATTCCACTGTAAAATTGTCAGTTTCATCTATTATTTGTCCTTCAGCCGATTATACTCCTAAAATGAAATGTTAAATATAAATGTTTACACCAACTTCCAACTTAAGTTTTCCTTTATTGAAAAAAATATTTCCTATGCGCTATAAAATAGCTGTTTTATACTTTTCAACATAGAACTTGTCCCCGATATCCCATATATGAACTATTCTTAAAATACTGACTGTTACTCTGCAAATTCAAACTAATTCTGCTGATTTGCACATTTTTGTATAAGAATACGCTTGTTCAGTCGTTGGATGCGTGTGTCTTGTCTATGGTAAGGTGTCAGTGTTTGTATCTGATCTTCCAATACTGTTTTTTTCTTGTCAATATGATATATATATATTTTCTTTGCTTTTTCTGTTTAACCGTTACAATCACGTGATAATCAGCGCTTCTTCTCTAGGATAAGCTTATTTCTGTTTCTATTCGGAGCCTTTACAGTGTTGAATGTAACATAATATTTGTTGTTGCATTTCTAAATGGACCAATACAATTTTCATTGATGTATATATTATTTTTGAATATAAATTATAAATGATTTAGCTCGAATGAAATGTTTCCGTTCCTTTTCAGATGTAATGTAAGATACTGTTACTACTCTATACAAGTGCCATGTAAAGTTTTGCTGGATTCATCACTTATTTTTTATCATCGCTTTTTTCAAAGTTGTCATATCAATGGAGCAGTGTAAAAACTAATTTTTTCTTAATATTGAACGTTCAAATATTTCTTTTTTAATCTTTATCGATTGTCTTCAACATTTTTGGTAATTGAATAAAACTTTTCAACCACAAATAATTGTTTATTCCTATTCCAGGGAGCATTGATAAATGTCTGAAGACTATAATAGAATACAGTAATTATTTTCAAATATTGAATGCTTACAGGAATTGTTTCAATGTTGTTATATTTCTACTTTACAAAGACATGTTATTGTATCATTTCTGTAAATATATGTATAGGTGCGACTAAAATATTATTTAAGGATGTTTTGTTAACAGAATAATATGAGTAAGGCGGCTTTTTAAGCTGGTGCACTTGATGTTGACTGTTTTCTGTTCATGGATGTAGTGTTATTACTATGAAATTGTACAATAATAGATTATTTTCATGAAAACCTAACATTTAAGTGGTTTGTAAAATGTTCACCAGGTATTTGTTTATTAAAATTATGCAACTGAAAGTGTCATAATCATAATCAAAATTCCAATACTACCTCGGATATCATGGGTTTTTGACATAAACAAAGATATAATATTTAGAATTGACCAAGACATTATTTCTTTATGGTATAGGCCATAGTACAAATTCAAAAATTAAGGAAACTTTTTGACTTTACCTCTTAAATTTGTTACAACCATCTTGACAGCTTTATAATACATTGAATAATGAGCTAACATTAATTTATCTTGAGTTTGTACAAAAACTAATTTATATAAAGAACATAATTAACAATTTACCGACTTGGCATCATTAATTTTAATGGCATGGGAGGAGTGTTTTCAATTTACTTTTCTTGTAAAAATAAGTGTTTCTATAAATCCATGATATTAATTCAATCTTTATAAGTCAAGCCCAAAAGTTTTACACTAGAAAATGTTTACAACTATACAACTGTTTTGTACCAACTAGTAAATTGTAAACTTTTAGCACTGAATTTTGATACTGCAAATAGAATTCTCATCCTATTGTAAAATCTTAAACCTGTTTTGATGTGTCTTTAATATCAATAATGTAAGCCCAGAGAGTGTTTGATGGCCAGTAAGGCTTTCTCTTTTATTTTAGGGTAAATTTTTCCATGATTATTTTTGAGGTAATGGAGTGTTTCTCAAGTTTCAGAGAAAACATTAATGCAGCAATAAAAATTTCTAACTATCCAATTTAACCCTTCCAAACACATTAACTAACTACCATATCAAAGGTAAAGAAGATCTAACAAAGAAAAAATTAACAAAATGTTATTATTACTAAGTGTGCCAGCCTGATATTTGGTCAAGCCAAACTCGAGGTAATATCGTGATCATATCCCACGGTCATGGAGACATCATCGTTGTTTTCTAGGATCACTGAAAAATCATTAATGCCTTCCTCAGTCAAGGAAACATCACACTGTCTTTTGCGGTCCATGCAAAATCCTGAACCCTCTTCGGTAACAGAATCGTTATCAATGTCTCTTGCGATAAATGAAACGTATTTCTCGTCTTGCGCGATAATAGTAAATTTCCAACTGTGCGATCTTCGCAGACATGTCGGGTATCAGTATCGTAACTTTTACCAATACAAATTTCCAAGTATCGGTAGTATCGAGAATTAACACATCCCTAATAATTTACTATCTCTACACATATTTTATCTGTTGATTTCTCAGTTTAAATTTTCATATTGATTTTATATGGAAATTCTATGCCACAAAATTTGCAACAAAAAAAAATTTCTAAACTTTTTTTTACATTGAAACAATAAACTTCTTACAGTTTTTTATTGAAGGAATGCTAAGCTAACCACTTAAAATCCTAAATCATTGGTCAAAAGACTGATTAAAAAGGTGGAAAAGCCATCCAGTCAATGGAATTTTCATATTAAATAAATTTACCTAACCCGCCATGTTAAACTTCCCTATCCCAAGCGTGATGTATATAACTTCGTTACTTCTCGAGTGATGTAAAGTTGAAAAAAACTCACTCGGTGATGTAAAAAAACCCATTTAAATAACATTGAGTGCTTAACTTAAAAAATATACCTCTATGGAGCCAACGACGTTCAACGCTAGAAATCAGCTGTGCGCTTGAATTTTATTGTTATGTTTTGAAGAATTTTCCTAACCTAGCTTTTGTTTGTAAATGAACGTTACCGTTACTGTTAGAAGATGAGTGAAATGGATAATGAAAAATATTGTTCGTAACCTCCTGTATATTGTCGGGTCAGGTAAAATATTGTACGTTACGCGTTACGCAAGAGCGTGTTTACATCACTTCGGTAAATTATGCAACTCGCTTCCGCTCGTTGCACAACATTCGCACCTGCGTGATGTAAAAACGCTCTTACTACACTTGTAAGGTAAATAGCTATTACAGTACTTGGTTTATAGGTATTAGCTATATAGTCTTTTTTTTACCACATGATTTACGGGTGAATAAAAACTATGCCACTATTTTCAGTTATTCGAGCAATACATTATGTGCTATTTTTAAGACTAAAAGGATAAAGGCTAATAACAATTATCAAATTTTTTGACAAAAGATTTTCCGAGACATAACAAGTAATTTTTAATAGCCAAGCAATAAGTTAACCTTTTCTGTTATTGAGCAATACAACATGTGTTTTATTTTTAGCTGTAGATAAATATGAATATGTATTGTGTTATTTCCAAAATTAAAAAACAACATCCATATTGGAATTATTTTCATTTTGAAGGAAAAGGTTTTTTCCAATAGTACATAAAGTGTTTTTAATAGCTAAGCAATAAATGATCCTCAAGACCTGGTGAACATTTTCAACAACTGATGGCGTTTTCATGTTTTAACATATCGTAAATTATCTTCTAACAGTTATGTAGTGTGATAAATTTTATTTTACGCCAAATATTGTTGAAGTGTTGGTAATTTTAAAATGTATACATGATGTAACACCACAGAATCTGGTTTTTACTGAATGTTTTTTCGTACCTTATGTCTGTCATTCGTATACTTCTGAGAACAAACAGATCAACACAAACATTAGATAATTTAAAATTTATTATGCTCCAAAATATTAGCATTTAACCTATTTTTTATGTTTCATGCTTTGTCTTTTAATGATTAAAGTAATATTATAGCAGCACCTGGTCATTTTAATAGTAACAATGTCATCACAGTGAGGCAGAAAATCTTTAGTAATTTTTTTATTCGGATGAATTGAATGCAAGAATAATCTCATTTATTCAACTCTATGGAAAGATCAAGTGCTGCTTTATTGTATTGGATTGATTTTATGTAATTTTATTATTGTAATGCACAAATTATAATTAAGAATAGTCTCTGAAGAAAGATCCATTGTTTCTTAATCAATTATTTAAACATTTTCAACCATCATTGATTTATAAACTCTTTAAACTTTATACAAATAAACGCTTATTTTGTTTTGTGTGGACATTTGAAAAATTGAATTCCTCTCTGAAATGCAAAATATACACTGCACATTTTCATATTGAATTGGGGAGATATGTAAATTATTAACATTTGCATGTGTTTTTTTCAAATAAATGAGAACTTATAAAAAAATTGTTTTCTTTAAATTCCTTTGTATTGCTATTATTAATAATAAAGAATGAAAAATGAGAATGTTTATGTGATTTAGTATACAAACTGTGAAATTAAAACATAATAGAGAATTTAACAGTTAAACTGGTTTTTAAATTACCTGTTAAAATGTTTTCATCTGCTGGGACCCCAACCAAGAAAAAAACTTTAGATTTTTTAGATTAAGATCTCAAAATATCTGCTAACATTAATATCTGTAAATCATATACCTGTTAACTTGTCAGCATTAGAAAGAGCTAAAGGCTTTTAGACAAGAAGATATAACTATAGTTCGGCCGCTTAGATAGCGACCTGCGCGCTAATGCTAACCAATGCTAGAGGAGGTCGCTATCTAAGCAGCCGAACTATAGTAACGATTTCCTTATTTAGTTCAACAGTTTTGAGGTAAACAACTACTTTGACTACGATAGAGGAAAAAGGTTAGTAATGTAGAAATAACTTAAAATTGAAAAACTTTATTATTCATATGTAAACTAAGACGGAGAAAACGTACAATAGCAATTGTATACAATACATAGTTATAAATTCTACTCTAGGTATTCCAAAACGTTGTGTCGGTTCAACAAGAAAAAATATACATAAAACAAATCCACAATCACTTATTTTAGAACTTTTTCAAACTTGTTAACTTTTTACTACATTAACAACCGGAGTATTACGAAAGTTTTCTCACCTTGAGGTAACTATGTACAAAAATATCATGAGTTAAAAATACACACATTTTAAGCTTAAGTACACTCTTAGTTTTGTACAATACACTGGTATCACACAAAGTGGAGATGGACTTTGGGGAAGTAGTGTGTGTTGAACACTAAATAAAACATTTAAAATGTTCTGTACAGCTACATAATGGCACTTGAATATGTTAAATAATTTGTCAGGAAGTTACCCATTTGGAGAAGACTGGGTTTGCAATTCAACTGTATTTTAAACTTTGTTAACAGGTGGATTCTGTTGAGCTTTTTTCAACAAAGAAACTCAATTGTAGAAAGTAAAGTTTATCCATGCCGCTCAAAAAAGTCTGGATATAAATCATACTAATCTGCCCTAAGAAAGTTGGATTAGCATTATTTGGCACTATCTAGTCATTCACAGACTAATAATATGAACTGAGAAGGCAATTTACCTCACTGTATACAAATAAATCAGGTAAACCCTTTTTTTGATGCACAAAATGAGTCATGCACATTAAAAAATATCACCTGCTACTAATAATTTTTACTTTTTAAGCTTGCTAAAAGAAGTTTCATGGACAAGTTATTCATTCAGTTATCAACTATCCCTAAAGGAATAATTGGCTTTTATTTGTACTCAGTAGTATCAATTTAACATTCAAACAAATCTGTATTAAGGTACATATTTTTTAACCATTCAATCTTCATAACAAATTTATGAAGTGTTTGGGTAATTGAACACACTTGAACCATTATACCAACAAGCTAGGCTGCTGAAATGAAGTACTTGCAATTAGAGTTGTTGGCGTTGATAAAAAAGGGGGGGAAATAAAACATTTTATATTTGTTGCTAAAATTGTCATGCCATCTTGATATTTTTGATAATGGCAAAGACTTATTGCTTATATCTTTTTCTACAGTAGTTGTGTTTTAGGAACTCTTTTGATTTGTATAATTTGGAAAAGTATTGAATAATATTTCTATTGAGTATTTTATATAGAGTTTTTGTATAGCCTTCATAATAAATAATGTCATGGAGTTGGAAAATTAGCCAGTACTCTAAAACTGACTATACTTACATCAAGTAATTCATAAAATAATAAACAGAAAGTTAAACATTTAAAGAGGGTTCAAAATATTTTGTTGAAAGCTTTTCCAACTAATTTATTAACTGATCTAATTTTATTTTTATCATAATTTTGTCAAAATATACATTTGGAAGCAAATAAAATCTACAGTCCATACAAACTAACATGATATGAAGGAATCTAGGATTTACTTTGAATTAATAACCCGAGTATAATGCAGAAGGTGTTATATAAAATTACAAAAGTTAATCACACATTTCAGTCGAAGATTTGGAGACATAAAGTTGCTTATTATAACAGTGCAAAGGTATGTTTTTTTGTAACAGTTGAGAACACAACAAGACAACTTCCGCAGATTGAATTAGAAAACTTCCATCAAAGTCCACATTGGCCACGATTTATAAAATAAATATATTCTTAACCTAGTTTGAACAAATATCACACTTATTCTATAACACTTAGCACCAGTCACTCATTAAGATCACATTCCAAAGGACTCAATCAACATATCTGATGCAGTACTTTTTAAAATCAAAAGGAAAGGATTAACATTTTAAAATCTTACTCATCAGTTTTGTTTGGCTTTGGTCAAGATTGTCTGATAGAAACCCAGGTTTACTTTATGTATGCTCCTAGTTTATTTTTCCATTTTTTAATTTAATTATAAATTCTCGTGGAATTTATGTTATTGTAAGTAAATTGTAGATACTGAAACTTGCTCACCAAAATTGACTAAAGTGTGTTTACGCAAAGTCATTAATAACACTTATGTTAAATATAAAAAAACTATAAAATAGCGGTGTGGACTTGTGCTTCAAAACAATAGGTCAATGTAACACATAAAATCAGCAATCTGCTATGATTATAAGATTATCATAATGATGAAAATTAAATAGGCAACCACCCTAATATAGCCAAACTTGCATTTAGTTAGGTTTATTTACATTAACATGTATTTTTTAAACCAATATCTATTCCTTGTTTATTCAAGGTGAGTGAAACTTAAAATAACTTAATATAGGCTACCTTAGAAATGATTAAATAAACCTTTCATGATTTAAATGGAGAACTAGAGAAGCATACACAAGGTAAGAAATATCATAAACAGCCAAATTGTCATTAAGTAGCTTTTTCTTATTGGGTTTTGCAAGTAGTGATTTCAAAAGCAGTAAACTCTTCTTTAGTCTGAAAAAAATAGCTATTTTCCCATAAAAACCATAAAATAGGTAGGCCTAACAAAATAATCTGATTTTTGTAGAAAAGCTGGTTTTGATCAAAATTAATATGTTATGGTCCTTAAAATTCTAAAAAAAATAGTACAACACCCCATTGCTGTAACAATTACGGTTCAAAAGCTATTGCAACTTTTGTGATTTTTAACTATAAAATATCATATGTACTCTCACCGCTTACCCATGATAAAGGTTGTTGACAAGCTTATGGGAGAAAGTATGTGTCAGAATGCTGATAACGTTTATTTTCTTATTGATACCTAGAAATGAAAGTAATTTATTTCCTAAAACTGCAGTAAGCTGGGAATGTAAAAAAAAAACCTTTAAACCAGAACTATTCAAACCACTGCTTTGAAACCCCTACCGAGTAAAAAATACTCTTTAAGAATTGGTACCAATTTGTTTAAAAAATCACCATGGATACATTCTTATCATTCACAGCAATTATCAAAAATTCATTCCTAAAAGCAAATCATTTTATTAAACTTAAAATCTCTTGGGCAAAACAAATTGGAAATTTCTAATAATGTGAAAAATGTATTAAAATATAAATAATCTCTCGATCGATAAAAACTTGCTAAAATAATGAAACTGGTGTAGTTGGAGACGGAGGTGTCTACGACTCCCTCAATTCGTCTCTGTTGATGATCTCAAAGTCGTCCTCATTATCACTGTCAGAGTCTGTCCGTCTTGTTGGCCTTCGCTGTCGTACCACGCTGGCCAGTAGCCCGACAGATCCCAAAACGTTACTGGTTACCGCCTGACAAGCAATACATATTCGGTCAAAAGTCATCAATTTAATCCAATAAGCAACATGCCAACATGACTGTGCTCAAGTAAAGTCTAGACTCTTATCGCAATGTCCTTTTGTTATTTAGTGTATTTTGACAAGTATATCCCTTCTATATTTCTGTTTCTTGTATGTGTGCTATTAACTATTGAACTCTATTTATTGACGAGCAAATGAAGTGAATACTTGACACCTTGTAGGGTTCCTGATGTTTCAGATTAGGAGGCGAAACTAGTTACCACTACAGCGACCAAGGATTACTATATGTAGGTATCATTAACTATTGGAATACAATTCAGTAATTCAGAGGCTGAACTACACTATTTGAAAATGTACAATTACTGTAAAAGCTGTAATTAAGCTTACATTATTAAGCTTTTAATATCTTTCATCCTTACCTCACCAATTGTAGAACCAATTGACATTTATGTAGCCGAAATTGGTGGTGTATCATACCAATGCAATAATAATTGTTTCCAAATATTTATGTCACACACACCTGTGCAATTAACGTATGCAGCCCGTGACCTGTGTCTCTCTCATCAGCTTCTGTGATTATCAGATCTCTTGTGAAAGCTTCCTCATCACTCGATGAATCACCGTTGAAATGACCACTCTGGAACTGGTTAACACATAGGACAATTATATAGGTTTGAAGATTCAAAATATAATAAATAACAATCATATTAAGACTAGTGATGTGTCGATACCAAAATTTATCGATTCTCGATACCGATACCATTTTTTTTATTGTTTTACCGAATTGTCTGAATGGATTGATTGGTTGTACTACACAACTCTTGTCTCTATGTCCTTCCATTAAGTATTTTTGAGGTAATGGGGTGTTTTTAAAGTAAAAAAAAAAATGTACGCATTAATGATACATTCCAACTAGCCAATTTAAGTTTAAACACCTCTGAACACATTAAAAAACTACCATAAAAAGATAAACGAAGATGTAACAACAAAAATCAAAAAATAAATTATATTATAGAGGTGTGCTAAGCCTGACATTTTCAGTCAAGCCAAACTCGAGGTAATATCGTGATCATCGCCTGCGGTCTTGGAGATATCATCTTCGTCTTCTGGGATCAGTGCAAAATTCTAAATATATTCCTCAATTACAGAAACATCAGCACTGTCTTTTGCGGTCGCGGAAAAATCATGAACA